TTCTCGGGGCATGTTCTCCCGCGCCGACAGCGGCTCGCACCACCATCTACAAAATATTGCGCCTCTTCCACCCGGCGGCGCTACTAACTCTGCTTTCTCACCAGGTTCCACTCGCCGCGGACGGGCGTCGCGCCGTCCGCCGCACCCGACACCACGTAGCTTGCTCTCGCCACCATCCACGTCCCACCCACCAACTATCCAGACTCCCATCTTTCCACCACCCAGCTAACAGCCCCCACATACCCCCGCTTGCCTAAATCGCAGCCTGCTCGCTGGCGCTAGCTGGGCCTCCCCTCATGGGGTCTCACCCGGCTTGGCTGACCGCGCTGAGGGCTGCGTAGTAAGCCTCCTGGCGAAAGCGGGCACAAAGGGGCAAGAACAAACGGCTCGTCGCCAACGACGGCCGCTGAACAGCGGTACCCAACGCCGCGGGGGCGCACCCCCGTGAGAAGCAGCCCGGGGAATGAAGAGAACTTCGAACCCGAACCCACCACAAAGTGGAAGAATCCCGAGGGCCCGAGGGCGACGCGGTAATGGCAGCGCGGTTAATTTTTTGTGTTACAGATGCGCGCGCATCTTAAAATTTCACTCTCATATTTTTTTTATAACGCGCCTAAAGAAGTATAAGTTCAACAAAGAAACGTATGCATTATGATTTTTTATAATGTTTTTCCTGTAATTTTTTTTCCAAAATGTGTGTATGTGTGAGCTATCTTTGCAACCGTATGACTTATCATTTATCCGATTTTACCAGTAGAAAGAGCAGAAAAGTTACGTATAACTGTGTTCATAACTAAATTTTGTAAAAAAGTGCATTTATTTGGTTTTCGCAGTAAGCAGACGATATCAGCTTTTGCAAATGATCTCCCTTTTTTTGATTTGTGTACCTCTAACGACTGGCCAATATGGGAAACTACAAGGCCGTAAAAATTATACATAAAGTAAACAGAAAATATTTGCTTTGCCCGTCCTTTCCTTATTCAGAGGCCCGTCCCAACAGGGACAAATTGACAAAAAAAAATTGACAGCAGTCTCTCCTTTTCTTTCTTTATGAACAAAAGAAGGACCGATGTACCGTTGTCAAATTTACTTTATAAATCTGCCCATGCTCAGTAGAAGGTGTTTAAGTACGATTATTAATTCCAGTCAGTAAAATGACATTTCCAATGTTGCAGGTTTTTTGTCCCAAATAAATAGTGATGGTAGAATCAAGTTTTTACAATTAAAAGTTAGTCGAGATTACATTTTTTTTATTCAATATCAAATTGCATTTATAAAATATATAAATAAAAATATGTTACTTACGGTAATTAAACAGAACACATACACAGTAAGTAATTTATTTAATATTATATAAAACACTGTAGTATTAAGTTAAATATCTCATTGTGTTGACTCGGTGAATTTTTGGTTATTGGAAGCACTATGGTCATCACTTGTCACGCTATGGACGCAATTTTGTTTTTCATTCTGCTCCCGAATTCCGATGGTGTCAGAAGTGTTTAGTGTCCTCTGCAATTTCTTGTTTATTTGTTACTTGTTAACTTGTTATTTTTGAAGTTATATTTCTTTAGGCGCGTTATGAAAAAATGATGAGAGTGAAATTTTAAGATGCGCGCGCATCATTGTAACACAAAATTTTTACTTTTGTGTTTACCGCACATTAAGAAAATCTACCAACAAAATAGAAATAGAATCTCTATTTTGTGGGTGCTAACGACTGCATTGTGAAGGCCTATCAAAAGTATTTATTAATCTGGAACAACGGAACCAAAGCGCGATTCAGGAGACTACAGCGCCATCTCTTGACCATTGGTGTAGTAGAACCAAAAACCACATCTTTATTTTTCAATGTTACTTTTATGTTATTATTGTAATAAAGTAACAGTATTGGTATTCATATTTATAATATTTATCCACATGTTTCTAGTTTGTATATTCGGAATACGTGTTTGAGTTTCATACAAGTGCAAATCACATATGTTCTAATAAATCATATTCAGTAGCGATTTTAATTGAATATTTTGATTATTTATTAATTTTTCAAATTAAAACTAAACTTTATTGACTGTGTCCTTTTCCAGACTTTTTATTAATTTATTGTAATTAATTATTTGCATGCAATTAAAAACTAATTTTAAACGATGCCAAAGAAGGATAACTTCTCACGCGCCTACATAAGTACACGCACCCATTTTTTTTTTGTTGAGTTTTGTTACGTTTGTTGTTTTTGTGAAAGTTGAAGTTGCTATAATTAGGCTAAACTAAATAAGGACTGAAGCTACAGTCTGTAGGCCTACCCTGCAGTGCAGTTCAGTAAAGCAATCTAACATTTTTATTTAAATTCATGTTTTTCAACAGTTTTTCAATCATTTTTATTTAAATGCATGTTTTTCAACAGTATATCAATCATTACGCTAGGTAATGATTGCGGATGTATGTCCCATTCCAAAAGTTCGTGATGTAGTAGTTCTTTAGAGTAATTATTAAGCGACCGCCATAGTGTATTAAAGACACTTGCGATACCAACCTGGAACCTTAAGCCTATTCTAGACGGATGTAATCCAGCGTACCAACTAAGATGACCTTGGTGGGAAGTTGGTTTTCATCCGCGTTATGATTTTCGGCTACACGGATGTAATCCACGCGCAAACACGCAATCGCGAGCCGTCATTTAAAATTTAAATGGCCGTCGCAAACGACGCAGCTGCTTGACAGACCGTCAAGACTTAATTCTGTGGCGTAGGCGGTACTTGACGGCAATCAAAGAATATCGGAGACAAGGAAAAATAATTGAAGTTATACTTCTTTAGGCGCGTTATGAAACAATGATGAGAGTGAAATTTTAAGATGCGCGCGCATCACTGTAACACAAAATTTTAACAAAGCGACCAACTTCATGCTGTTACTTTTGTGTTTACCGCACATTAAGAAAATCTACCAACAAAATAGAAATAGAATCTCTATTTTGTGGGTGCTAACGACTGCATTGTGAAGGCCTATCAAAAGTATTTATTAATCTGGAACAACGGAACCAAAGCGCGATTCAGGAGACTACAGCGCCATCTCTTGACCATTGGTGTAGTAGAACCAAAAACCACATCTTTATTTTTCAATGTTACTTTTATGTTATTATTGTAATAAAGTAACAGTTATAGGTATTCATATTTATAATATTTATCCACATGTTTCTAGTTTGTATATTCGGAATACGTGTTTGAGTTTCATACAAGTGCAAATCACATATGTTCTAATAAATTATATTCAGTAGCGATTTTAATTGAATATTTTGATTATTTATTTATTTTTTCAAATTGAAACTGAACTTTATTGACTGTGTCCTTTTCCAGACTTTTTATTAATTTATTGTAATTAATTATTTGCATGCAATTAAAAACTAATTTTAAACGATGCCAAAGAAGGATAACTTCTCACGCGCCTACATAAGTACACGCACCCATTTTTTTATTATCAAGATGAGACCTGGATTAATGAAGGTAATTGAATATTTTTATTTACAAATGTATTTTGTAATTAGTTTTTCAGTGTCAAAATGTATTTGTGTCAGTATTATATTATTTATATGATTTTGTGTATTAACAGGTCATACAATGGTAAACTTTGGGTGGATACAACAATAGAATCTTCCAAACAAGCGTTTTCTAAAGGTTTGACAACGCACCGTACCATTCAAGAAAAGTCGAGCGTATCCCCACTTCAAACTGGCGGAAGGCTGATATTATTCAGTGGTTGGATGAAAAACAAATTCAATATCAACCTACAATGATCAAGGCTCAATTAATAGAAATAGTAAAATTACAAAAAACTAATTACGAACGCTATACTGTGGAAGAGTTAGCCGCTGAATACGGTGTCACAATCCTGTGTCTGCCCCCCTATCACTGCGAGCTCAACCCAATAGAGTTAGTTTGGGCTCAAGCAAAGGGGTACGTCGCCAGGAACAATAAAACTTTTAAAATAAAAGACGTAAAAACATTATTTGAAAAAGATCTGAAGGAAGTGACACCTGAAAATTGGAGACAGTGCATCAACCATGCCATAAAAGTTGAAGACAAAATGTGGCAACTCGACCACATCATAGATGAATGTGTAAATTCATTCATTATAAATATAACTGATTCCGATTCTGAATCGGTATATTCAGAATCGGAATCGGAATCAATATCAACAGTAAAGAATAAAAACGTATAAAATAACTTATATTGTTTTACTTAAATAAAACTAGTTTTTACGGGTTAATACACGAAACTTTATTTATTTATTGACATTTCGTAGCCTTTACAGGCTACGACGTCAGAATCAAACTTTTATTTAATTTGTCGAGCTACCTTCGAAAGATTTTTTTTGGAAAGTTTCGTGCATTAGCCCGTAAAAACAAGTTTTATTTAATGAGTGATGTGCGTGAAAACCTAAGAAACAAATATTGTTTTACTTAATTAATAATAATAATAAATAAATAATAAATATTTCCAACACTCACACCAATTAGCCTAGCCCCAAAGTAAGCACTGTAAGGCTTGTATTATGGGATACTAGAGTAACGGATAGAATACATATACAGTACACATATAAGTATATTTACATAGAAATACGTATTAAACATCCATGACTGGAGTACAAATGCTCGTATTCATCACACAAAACATCTGCCCCCACCGGGATTCGAACCCAGGACCTCTCGAGTCGGCGACACCATGAAACTCGGCTTACAAACCACTCGACCACGGAGGTCGTCAATTCCTCTGTACCTCTTTAAACATTTTTTTCAGCTTTTGTAATAATGTTGTAGTGAGCACTTTTAATATGCTGGTAAGGTCCATATTTCTAAAATGATATTATTTCAAATGGTATGTATTACATATTTACAATAAAAGAAAACGCTTTGATACCTAATAAAATAAAGCATGACTAAATGTCTAAGTCTATTGATTGCCGAACATCACTATTGTAGCGGGTTACCCTTTTTTGTATCAGTGACAGTTGCACTTGTCATTTTACTGACTCGAATTAATAATAGTTTTTAATGTTTATTTTATTGCTTTTTGTTAAAATGTCGAAACTTTGGTATTAAATTATTAAAGTAAAATGGATAAAAATTATGTAAAATCTACTTTAGATGGACTTAAATCTACATCCTCTACTCGTGTTCAGGAAACTTTAATTAAAATACGAAGTAAATTCACAAGTAATGACGATGGAATCAAGCTATTTCGTGAATGTGGTGGTTTAAATTATTTAATACCTTATTTACGTAAACCAAATGAAAGAATTCTTGATATTACGCTTAGTATACTCGGTAACTGTTGTCTTGAAGAGGAAAGCAGTTTATTGGTTGGTAATTTCAATATTAGCGAAACAAACAAACATTTTATTAAGTTATCATTATTTATCGGCAAATTGCCTTTTTAACTTATTTTCTTAGTCTCACAAATATTTAATGTTTATAGGTTGGTAAGTTGAATAGTTTTGGCTCTCTAGTGAATATATTGAATACGGTTTGCCGTGACAGTATAGTGGGAAGGTCCTGTCGTGTAATCGGAAACTTAGCTCAAAGAAATAGTAATGCTGAGGGTCTCCATAATCATGGAGCAGTTGCTGCTCTTTTAGCTATTATCGAAAAGCGAGACAAAAACACTTCTTACCCAACACTAGCAATGGCAGTTAGAGCTATAAGGTAATGTTGAACTTACTTTAACTTAATTTAAATCCTTGATCAGAAATTAATTTAATTGCTTTATTTTTATGTTAATTACCTTTTTTGTGGTTCATCATCCTTAGTTCAGTCTTTGTTTATTTGTCCCCATAAAAATGGTGCAGAAAATATTGTTGATTAATTAGCAAATTACTGTATCTCCAAACAATGAACCAATCCTCTTTGCAGGCAACTTTGGATGCTAAACAATAAAAGGGATGAAATGCTGGCACAAAACACTGTACACATTATAGCTATACTTCTCACAACAGAATGTGAGACAGCTGGGATCATAAAATCTTCATCAAAGTCAACTGTAGAGGAGACTGATGGGCTTAGAAAAAGTCAAGAGGAATTAATAATAGGTATACTGAAATGTCTAGGCTACTTTACAACTTACTCATCGGTATCATGTGCAGAACAGGTAAATATTTGAAATTTTTGTGTAATAAATAATATTACAATTAATAAAGTATGAATGCGTATAGATAAATATTATTGGTTATTTTTACTCTTTTAATTTAATAACATTCTCGTTTCAGATTCAAGGTGATGGTAGAGGATATCAATGTTTAGTAGCATTAACAAAATCCTACGAATCTTTAGCTTTGAAATGCATAATGAACCTATGTTTCCTTTCCACATGCCGTCCTCTTTTGGGTATTGCAGGTGTGGTTGAATGTCTTGTGGGTATTTTAAAAAAGGCAAAAGGTAAAATACATTTTAGTTATTATGTAAAATTCATTGTTATATTATGATACCAGAATGCTATAAGTTACATATTTACTTTCACAGGTATTTTATGGTGGCCAGAAGGGGCTGCACGTGCCTTAGCTTTACTTAGTGGAGAATCAGTCAACAGATCACGCTTGCGTCATTGTGGTGGATTACCCTTACTAGTTGCTGCAGCCAGAGTTAACCAGCATGCCCTGCATGCACTATTGCAATATGTATTTGATGATTCAGGTATTGACTGTCTTTACTAAGTCAATATATTATACTTGACACACCAATACTTAATCTGTCTATCTTTAGACTGGCTTCTATTTTCTGGGACAGTTATGCTAATGACAGAATTGGGGACTCCAAATTTGAAATTTCCCTTTTCGCATTGAATTTATTTATTTCATTATTAGCCTACACTCTAATGTTAGTTTCATAAAATTCTAGTTCTCGCGAATAATTAGTATTAAATATAAAATACTACTTGAAGCACAATTCTTCTGAATTTATGATTGTATTCATCAAAATTTTGCAGCTTTTCAAATACTTGTAAATGAAGGACTTGTAAACTTATTAACCGATGAACTCACCAACTACATAACAACTATGAATTTTGAGCACAGCAGTTTAGACGATAATGATACGTCATCTGTAATGGTAAGAGAAGTAGAGCCCAGCTGTAGTTCCGAATCCAATTTGAAAACTCCAGATAAACATAATGTTACTACCAACCAAACAGAATCCAAAGGAACCTTGTTTATGCGACGTAAATCGCAAGTTAAACAAAATGAGGATGAACTTAGAGTTGTTATAGAAAGAGACAACATGATTGTTGGATTTGTTGATGCTGTGGATAGTGACGCTACTGACGACAGTCAAAGTGATGATGAAGAAAATTCTCAACATAAACGCAAATGTTTAAAAAGGACTAGCTCTGGAAGTCCAAAATTTCCTAAAAAGGTATATTGATATTGACAAGTCACAAATAATAATAAATATAATATACCCAATGTATCAGAACTAGCCCCCACACTCGACCTTACCTGTTGCATGAGGAGACAAAGTACTTTAATGTGACTGAAGCAGGCTTATTATACAGAATACTAATATTATAAATGTGAAAGTGTGTCTCTCTGCCTTCTTTCTGTTAGTCTGTTACCTCTTGATGCTTAACCACTGAACCAATTTAGATGAAATTTGGTATACATAGTAGTAGATAGTTTTTAATCCGATAATCATCCTTTAAGAGGGTGCAAAGGGGGGTGAAAATTTGTATTGGAAACCAATTTTTCCATCTAGACGAGGTCATGGGTGCGTACTTAGTGGACGTAACTAGTGCAGAATAAATATAAAAATGCAGATATATGAATATTTTAATTGTGTAAATACTATGTAAAAAAAATACACTTGGCGCCAGTGTCAAGCTAGATTCGCATCAGCGCCTTTCGCAATCTGGGCGAATGCATTAAATGCTATGCTACAAAGGCCTTGATGGACATATCTCATTTTAGTTTCTGGCAAAAGAAAAAAGCCACCTCTATCAAAGTCGCGGTATCATAGCATTATTGAATTGCATTCACCCAATAACCAAAGAGCTGGCATGGATTCTGGGCTGAGTGGGTTTTTTTACTGGCTAAACCAAAGGCTTTATTTTGGAAAAGCTATAAAAACATTTTTATCAAACATCATATTATGATATAAAGATGCAATTTATTGTTTATTTTATGTTATTTTACAGAAATCACAACTTATAAAAATGGCTAGTAAAGATTGGTCAGCTGGGGTCTATTGGGAACCCAAAAGCCCCGAATGGCCTTCTGGTAACCAACCTTCAAGCTCACATGCACCATTGAGTCCAGAGATATCTGAACAAGGGCCTATGTCTCCATATTCAGATCAGTCCGGCTTTAGTCCAGAATATAGAAATGATTCTGGAAATAAACGCGGGAGATGGGATTGGAGTCCAGAATCGGGAGTGAGTTCTGGAGATGGCAGTTCTGCTTGGAATAATTGCAGATGGAGTCCATCTAGTTCTGGCCCGTCATCACCTTATAGCATCAATGAAGGTGAGTCCCGAGGCTCAAGCACGATTTTGGCAGCTCCGTCGTAATCATATCACATCGTCATAGTTTCTATGAAAACTAAGCAGCGCCCCTACCGAACAAACTGGCATCTTCCATACAAAATTTGATGCTGACGATACGATTACGGATCTGTCAAAATTCGTGCTTGGACTTCAGAACAGTGGTTTAGTTCAGTTGGTTTAACTTGGTATTATTTCTATTTAAATGCTTGTCGCATGTCAGCGATTGAACTATCATCTTACTTTTTGGAAGAGAATGTTCATGATATTACCATATTCAATATTTATACTATTTTGCTCTTAATATACAATAGTAAGGAGCTCGATAGCGCAAGTGGTTAGCGCGTTCGGTCTGCGATAGTGAAGTTAAGAGCGGACGCGAGCTGAGAAATAGGTATTTAAACCATATTTTTTGAGTTTATCTCGGACATACATACAGACAAACAGACAAAAATTCTAAAAACTATATTTTTGGCTTCGGTATCAATTTTAGATCACACCCCAAGTATTCTTTAAAAAAAATATTCAATGTACAGTTTTGACTTTCCTACCATTTTATTATATGTATACATGTGTATCGATAGTGGATAAAGTCTGGAATTAGATTTCTTCTTATCCTTCTAACAGACAGTTCAGACTCTGAGATATCCGGTCGTTACTCGCCGGTTTGTAGCGATACGGAGGGTGAATCGGAAACAGTTGTGGAAGCGGGTGCTAGTAGCGTTGCCGTCGAACTGGACGCCGCGCAAGTGGTGCAAGATTTCGACGACCTTATGATGGATGATGATGAAAGTATCGACGGAGACTCGCCACTGGAAGGTAATTATTATTATTGGTATTTCCGAAATTCTCGAGCGCGACCCACATTGGAAGCGAAGCAAAATAACTTCGTTTCGTTCATGTAGCTACCCGGATATTTTCTTACTATAGTTCACATTGAGGTCGAATGCTTTACCGTTTGTAAGTAGTAAGTTTGGCAGTTAGACGCGATGAAAAACGTGATATAATGTAAATTGTGGTGATCGTGCCATGGGGGCTAGTGTAACTAAGTGAAATATTACTAATGACCCACTAGTATCATAAATATTTCACTTAGCCTCGCTTCGCTTCGGTGTAGAGCTATCCGAATTCTTCTCACCTTTTAAACCTTCCCTAGACCTCCACGAACATTTCAAGACCAAGATAAGATAAATCCGTTTAGCTGTTCTCGAGTTTTAGCATTTATATATATGTATATTAGCCTACGCTTAATGAAATATTTCTCTTATATTCTAATGCATAAAATATATTATTTGATCATTTTTAGATGACTGTAAAATAGATGCTAGTTCTATGACGTCACGGGTTGCATGTGTTCTGGTGCTTTTGTTCCGAGTGTCGCACGGCGCTTGTACAACGAGCACCATTCGTGAAGAGCCCGTACCGAATCACACTTTAGATCTGCTCACAGGCCAGGAATGCCTAAACGCTCTGTTAGACTACGTGGAGCGATGCAAGCGACCTCTAGGCAGGGCGGCCCGAATCCTGGCAAGAGTTTTAAGGTATTAAAAAAAAACGAGCGAGCCTTACAGTAGTCGCGTATGATGTGTAACATTTGAAACCTCACCTTATATGAGTAAAAAAAAAAGAAAACCTACTAGGATTGAAAACAAGATATAGATTGTTAAGAACAAGAATAATATTTATTAAAAAGGTCTAGGACACAGAGTCATATCATCACTTGCAATATGTATTACCGTAACCGCCAAAAGACAATTTTTCACGAGAGGCAAAAAAGTAATTTGAAAATTAGAAAAAATATTAACATAACTTTATGTATACTTATCCTTTTGAAATTATCTTTATAGCAATTGCCTTTAATTTATGTGATCTTTTAGATAAACGAGATCTTAAAAAGCCAGCTATCATAGTTTAGAAAAAAAAACACGTAATTTTTTTTCACAAAAAGGTGTGATTACATTAATAAAAAAAAACATTAACCACAGTTTAAGGTAAGCGACAAAAACCTAAGAAAAATTGAAGTAAGGCACACCATTTTCGAAATTTAGATTTACGTTACTAAAAAAAATATTTAAAGTACTTTCAATTATATTTACTTAAAATAAAGTCCAATATATAATAAATTCTTCAGTTTTAGTTAATTTGTGGCTGGGTAGTAAGGTAAAAATAAACAAGTTTATAAGTAGGTAAAAACAGTTAAACAGTTATGAAAAAGGAATTTTATGTCAGTCAAATTAGAATTTATTGAAACCAGGTAAGGCTCTATTAATAAAACATAAAAAAATTGGAATAATTTATATTATAGGTATATAAAAATTATGTTATATATTAATAACTAAAACAGAAATTGTAACTGAACAAAGAGCCGCGTCGCGAATTGTAGTCCTTATTAAACAAAGTAATTAGTATATTTTAATGCATTTAACTGCTATATAAATCTAAAGAAAATTTTAGGATGCGGACGGAGGGTGTACGTAACCGAGGTTTCGTACAAAGAAGAATAATTCCTTCATCGAAACTAGTTAAGTACAAGGGATAATATTTCCTTCAAGGAAACCAGTTACGAAAGTACGCTTTCGTAGGCGGCCAAAAGGGAACTTAATGGCAATTGTATAACATACCTACAAGCTTAATACGAAGCAAAAAATCGCTTCCATTCCATTCCGCGGCGGCATAAATTGAACCTTACTGATTTTGGTTATTTATTAAAGCTATTTCGGTGGTGTTTCGATACAAATAAATAATTATTTTAAACATCTATTGCTAAATGGGAGCGCAATGGCGTTTGGGCAGTGGTTAGCGTGTTTAGTCTACGATCGTAGAATTGCATCTTTTCCAATATCTGGTAAGATGGGTGACCAAAAATGTGTTACTCCTCGCATTTGCAACCGTTAACACCAGATCCGCACACTATCAATCAAGATAATGAGCTTGTGTTATGGGTCCTTCTTTGAATTGTTTATATTATAATTGCCCGAATACCATACATCATCATCATCATTGAGCCAAAGAACGCTTACTGCTGAGCATAGCCCTCCCTCGAAGATCTCCAGTCGGTCCACCTGTACCCTTATTAAGAGTTCGAGCTCACGAAAACTATTATAGTTTTCGTAATAACTCGTACTAAGGGTACTGGTGAACCTGGTTGAAAGGTTCTTGCTTTATAGTTAGTAGTTCTCTAGTTTTAATATCAAATAACAAGTAAGCTGGGATTACGAAATGCATTTGAGTGATATGAACATGTCACGGTGAAACTAGTCGTTAGCTTATTCCTCGTTTATTAATAAGGGGGGATAAGTTTATCATTAAAATTTATCTGTTTTACTTACAGCAACGCTTTATGTTTGATGAGTATTCTTAAACATAGGCTGACATTACGATTGCATAAAATGTCTGTCAAATCAAAACATCCACCTAATAAATGTGTTCAATGTAAACAAGTAAGTATAAATTGGCATTGTATTATTATTCATTAGAACATTACACTAAAAACTGAAAGATTTTTAAATAATTTTAATGTTTCTGTTTCTCAGATCATAAAGTTAAGTACCAAACTTTTAACTCAGTTGACAATATTGGCTGAATCAAGCTATGGCATTGGTGAAATAAGTTATAACCTGTTGAAAGGAAATGCCTCAATCAAACAAACATTATCACTATCACTTCCATATATAGTAAGGTAAGACATTTTTAATTTAATTCATTTCAATAAAAAAAAATTCTACTCATTCCTATGTTATGTTGACATCCAAATAATTCTTGTTGTTCACAGGACTGAAAAACCATTGAAGAAATATTTCATAGACTGCAGTGCACTTAACTTACTATTCACAGTGATAGCTGAAAACAAAGAAGACATGCAAAACTGTGTCACAGCTCTAGGAAAACTTGCCAAAAATGTTCATATAAAAGACCCAAAGACATTAGAAAACAGATTTAAGGATCAAGTGTGCGTCAGTTACGATCCTATACTAGATAATCTGTCTACTCATGATATAGTTACATTTCAATTGGATGATTTGTCAACTGTGAAAGCAAACAAAATATTCCTTTGCCAAAATTCCGAATATTTTAGTGCAATGTTGATGGGATGTTTCAAGGAATCAGTTGAAAAGTGTGTGCGATTAAAAGATGTCACCAAACCTGCTCTAGAATACCTCTTTACACTTTTACATTGTGGTTTGAACAATCCAAAATCAGAAGTCATAGTTTTTCCAATGGCTGATAACTTAGAAACAAATTTAGAAGTATTATTGCTTGCTGATAGATATCTGTTTGAAAAGCTCAAAGAGTTGTTAAGCAGCGCCATATTGCAATTCCAAATGACACCTGAAAATGCTGATAAAATTTACGTATGGTCCTTAAGCAAGGGTATGGGATTTCTATGTGTAGAATCTGTAGCATATATATTAACTGGAAGTATGTGCGAATCATTGCGCACCCGATCATTCAGAAAGATTTTGGCATTGGAATACAAGGAGCAATGGTTAGATGATATCAAATCTATGATAAGGCGTCAATTGATTAAATGAATTTCTTATCAAATTACTAAAATAGATTATAAATATTAGTTAATATAGAAGGTAACATGTATATAATAGGTAAAGTGATAATTGTTGGTAATTTAAACTTAATGGAATTACTAATTATACTATGTATTCATAATCAAATAACTAGGTTTACTGTATATAATCATAATACCAACAACTAATCTGTGTTGTATTTGAAATTACCAGATATAATGTTCATTGAATTAGTTTTGAAAATCTAATATTATTTAGCTGTTGTATATGGCAGTGATAATTTTGAGCTTTTATTTTCACCAAATAATTAAAATATGGTCATATTGGGCAAAACAATTTTTTTTTATATATATAATTTGATTGAAACTGCATTTTAGTTTCAAATGATATTGTAAAAAATATTATTATATAAAAAATTTAATGTATTTATGATTTATGTTTAAGTAATACTCCATTTAAGAATTAAAACTATTAATATTTATTAACATTGTTTTTATCAATCTGATATAACCGTTGCGAAGTCTTCTCGTAATGTCAATTTCAATTTTATATCTTGGTTTGGAACAAGCACTTGTGAAGTGATGGCATTTACCTCATTACTATTCACACATGTAAATTCAAAGTTAAGTACAATCTGAAAAAGAGAAATCATTATTTTTTTATATTATGGTCACTATAGTACTCTAATGTTTTAAACTTGCCTGTCTTATAATTTCAGTAAGCTGTAACATGGCTATCTTTTTTCCTATACAAGATCTAGCTCCTAAAGCAAAAGGCAGTGAGGCTGAAGGAATATGGTTTTTGAAATTTAACTTTTTTGGATCATTCCTACTCCAACGATAAGGTGCAAATTTACTAGCTTCACTAAAATTATTGTCATCACGTCCAATTGTATAAACGGAAGCTATAACAGGAGTCTGAAAAGAATAAAGAAATCATAACACTATCCAATAAGTAAAACTTTTTTACTATTTCTTTGATAAAAGTCTACTGTATTTGTCTTTTATTTCTTGTTTCATATGATTGTAGGGATCTTCCAGCTCAGATGGAGCTTCTGGTATCTTCAACTTCCTTCTTACAGTCGGGGAAATCAAGATCATATTATGAATGAGCCCAATTCCACTTGAGGTTACCCAATACAAGCACATACTTGATGGAACACTGGCAGCCACAGGTATCATTATTATTGAAAATCCTCTAAATAAATTAGTAAATACATTATACAGTTTTGAGGGTTGCCTCAATTTTGACATTCTTTGAATTTCTATTATTGCTAAATTAGTCAATCCAAATGAGACTGGCAATATCCAAGAATGATCTGGTTCTGTCAAATTGGGTATCCAACCGATTCCACCTGTTGAAAACTCCATAAAAGTGATTATAGCAGCAGGATCACCTGATTGCATGTAAACCAGATTTCTAAGGGCAAAGGACATGCAGACCCATATTGGGATTTGGAACCATATTAACAAACTAGCTTTAAACGGATGACAATTGTCTCGGACTATCAGGTTCTGCCATTGTTTTTTGATAGACCTTTTGTATAAGGCGACTGCTTGTTTATCTGTTAGTTTATATATCTTCTTTGCCATCCCTGTTTCACGTTTTAACTCCTTTACCATATCATTTAATTCAATACTTATGTTTTCTACTTTAGCCAGTATATAATTTTGATATATAGTAAATGGTAATGTTATCAAACAACGTATCAGAACTGTAGCAGTGACTATGGTGGCCCACCAAGATAAACCAGTAACTTCGTGGTAATAAAGCAACCCATCTTGCATATAGTGAACCATATTGCTATTGGCTATGCTAGTGTATAATTCTTGTTGCCATTTAACAATGCCATCAGTAGAGAACTGCTTGCGTTGACTACACAGCGGCGAAAATACTTTTATCTTCAGTGCTTTGCTGCGTATAGGCGTTGCCTCGTGTTTTCTTATTTCGATACTGTTACCCACACAACTATAACATCTTAATTTAGATAAAGATACTTTATTGTTTACAAATCTGCTTGCTTTTAATGAATACATCGTAAACATTGACCCAAAATAAATATTCGTCAACATAACCTCTACTATTCTATTTGAATGTCAATGTCAGTCTTGCTGTAGAGCTACGTTCCAAAAGTACGCTCTGAGTACAACTTTTTAATCTGACGTTTCAATTTTGACATAAAATGTATGAAAGTTTTGTCAGAAATTATTGCACCTATACTGTAAGTTTAGAACGTACCCCAGCTCTCCCTTATGAAGACAAGGGTTGCTAAATCCATACAGCCTAGTTTTCAATTTAAAAAAGGTAAATGGAAAATAAAGTCGTTTACATGTTAATCTTTACATAAAATGAATAAATGTAGATTAATTTTGTAAGTTGTGAACAAAGAATAGGCTTGGATGTTTATTTACACATTTTCAAAATGTGTCACAGTTAGTAGTCAACAATGCATTTGGTGTAATGTGATTTAATATTAAAACTTATTTCCTTATTATTAGTGCTTACCATGTTGGGTTTCAGGTCCCGAAAAATACGTGTATTTGTTTAAATATGTTATACTTACTCCTTTATCCAGAATATATTGCCCCAGTACACTTTCTTTTGGTAAAATTCGTGTTAGAAAAGGAGCTACAGGATACAATCGCATTGCTTCCTTGACGACATTCTTGACATATGCAGCATCATTTTCACGAATCTGTTTTTTTTCTACATCGTTATTGGAGAGTAACAGTAAAGTCCACAAAGTTGTGTAGGTTGTCTGTAATCAGGAAATAAATTGATAAGAAAAAAGTAAGTTCGAAAAGTACAATCGCTTCTATTTCTCTTTACGTTTACATCACAGCGCCTCTAGCGATTTTACAGTACTACTATTTTCAGGGGTATTACTTGTGTCTTTCATCTGTCTAATGGTAGCCATACACACTACGAGAAATCGTTACGATCAGACTGTACAGTTCGAACGGTACCAATAAATCGTAGCATATATGTTATAAAACTGCACAGTTTCCTATACGTACGCCACGTACGATAAACTGTTCCGTTCGAACTGTACAGTCTGAAGTCGTAGTGTGTATGGCTACTATAATGGTAGCAATACACACTACGAGAAATCGTTACGATTTGACTGTACCGTCCGAACGGTACCGATAAATCGGTGCGTGTATGTTATAAAACTGCACAGTTTCCTATACGTACGCCACGTACGATAAACTGTTCCGTTCGAACTATACAGTCTGATCGTAACGATTTCTCGTAGTGTGTATGGCTACCATAAGCTAGGCAACTTTCGCAACGAACAATTTATTATCTCGAGCTCTTTCTACCATTATTATCTCAGGCCCAGCTGCAACTACAGTTGTTATCACCCGCAAATACGCACTAGGTTCACGTGCTAAGTAATGGCCTATTCTCCTTATTCCATCAACATGGAACGCCTGTGTCCCAGTAGTGGGGACAATAATAGACTGATGATAATGATGATGAAATTGCGAATTTCTCCCACCACTCTTTGACTTTTTGAAGCCACGGTTGTATCCTACTTCCTTATAAATTCGAAAGTTTGTTAGTTTGTATGTTCATTACTCAATCACACAAAAACAGCTAAACTGATTTAGATGATTTTTTACATACAGACAGCTTATAACCTGAAAAGAAATATAGGCTACTTTTTAACCCGGAGACGTGTTAGATTACTGAGGGAGTTTCAAAAAACTAAAGTTAAAGTGGATGAAGTCGCGGGCGGCCGTTAGTTTAAAATATTTAATATCAGCAGTTCGTGACCGATTTTTGTTCCGTTTCACAGAATATATCTTTTAGGCTCAAATCACACCGAAATGGCAGCGGTTGGCAGCGACGCGACGCGGCCGGTAATGACGCGACGAGGCAAGTAGAGCCAGCCGCGGCTAGTTACCGTCATCATGTACATATTGATTTAAATACTATACCATTGTAACTAAGTGAGTAATGGTACCATGTTGTGAGTAAAAAGTCCGGACTTTTTTCGAAATTTCAGGATTTTTGTCAGGACTTTTGAGATTCCTAAATGGTAACCCTAGCCGCTGCAGGCTCGTCGTTGCAGTGCTGTTATTGGAAATAAGGGATACGCATACGCCACTAAATAATAATTATAACTATTGTTAGGCTGTGGATAGTAGCTATTTCGTAAATAACAATACTAATTAAGTACTAATACTTAAAAAACAATGTTTTTTATACTTTTTCGTTGTTGTTTCTAATTAGTTGACCATTATTGTTCATACTTTAAAACTGATTAAAATGTTTGTCCGTAATGTAATATTGAAACTGCAGTTGTGTATATAGAAATAATATTGTTTTACTAATAAATGATAAATCGTTGAACATATTGCTATTAATTGTTTAATTTCAAAATAAACACGATTGCGGTGAAGTATCTTACATAATGTCAAGGACCGTTGGTAGTATTTCTAATTATACGAGCACCACTGTATTTATTTATTTTATACATTTAAAATGTAAAAAAATCTGAGATAACGTTTTTGCGCCGGGGCTGGCTGGGGCAATTTTGCGCATGGCTTACTTATTGTTTGATTGAAGTATCAAATGGGAGGTGTAACTGGCAATATATTTGTGGCAAGTCTGATTTTCTAGTTGCCGCGTACTTAATATGTCTGCACGAAGTTTGTTTTTGTAATTTTATTATGAGAAGCAGGAAGTCGATTTCTACTCTTAGATTAAAACAAAAAGGGTAGATACGGCACTAGCCTCACAAAAGTGATCCGCACCAATTGTGGTCCACGACCCTAATCGCTTTAGTCACAAACTTGACACGCAAACGACGTACATTTGAACGCCAAAAAGAAAGTATTGCTAATATTTTGTGTTTATATGATAAAACAATGCCTAAGTGTGTTTTTAAAAAGTGCTCAAATTGCTCTAGAACTAAAAATAAAACCCACGTCATCATTTTTCATTCTGTAAGTACTATAAAATATATTTTTTCATAAAAATTGCTGTTTGTTTTGAATCTTATTCGGTAGTGACGTCGAGTACTGGTCGCGTGATTGGTCGGTAGTGCAGTGACGCGGATCTGGCCGTCTCGTTCGCACTGCCGTTGAAACTTTACGTGCTGTTTCGTTTGGGTCGGTTATGCTATGCAGTGACGCGGATCTCGCCGTCCCGTACGCGCTGCCGTGGGATCAGTTTTTGTTTGATTTGATGCAAGTATGAGCGTACCGTATCTACCCTTTTCGTTTTAATCTAAGTTTCTACTAGGTAATTAATATATACTAATTATATTAAATACAGAAAAATAAAAACAAACATCACGCAACGGCACAAGACATCTCGTACGTAGTTATAGCAACCCTGTGTGGGGAGACCCTGGGGGCGAGCACAGCGGATGAGCTCGCGTCGTCGGTCGCGAGCATGACCGCAGGCAAGCACCGCGGGCGGACGCGCGACCTTTCAAGCAACACTGGTCTTTATAAGTATGGGAATAAAGTTTAAAATTATTTCACACCGCTTTCAGGGAGACAATGCTCGCCGCGTGTCGCTGCCGGCCGCTGCCATTGCGCTATGAATGAATGCCTTACTGTAGGTAATCTTTATCTATAATTGGGTTAAGGTAGGTACAAAAATATTAAAAAAAAATGATTTCAGGTTTATCCTTATACATTCGAATTATTTATAGTCATAATTAATGTCTAAAAGACTAATGTTTATGGCTTCAAATTACTTACCGTATCCCCTGCTGCAATCACAAAATCTGCTACAATCCTGGTGATTGTATCATCGCTCATTTGTTCTTGACAGAGTTTCCTTATGAGTCCTTTATTACTTTCTTTTTTATTTAACATTTCTTGAACAATTTTCTGTGCTGTTTTAAAAATATTTTAATGAGTATGATGCATAATAATAAACGTTATTAATTGACCACAAGGAGGGAACCACTACCAGCTAAATTGTTGTTTTTTTTGATGTGTGAAAAAATTCACGCTAGTAACATGGCCGTGCATCAATGACTTACTACTTCCATCGTTGTAGCACTGTTGATCTTATATGTGGTAGATGCTTAGATGTTAAATGGAACACTAATCGCAATCAAGTAGGTATTCTATCAATTTATGAAATGTAATTGAAAATGAAAAAAATTAACGCATAAATTCCCATTAAATATATTGATACTTGTGTAAAACAGCTAGTAAGTAGGTGAATGTAAAAATATACAAACATCATCTCTAAATTTTACAGTCTCTAAAGTTTACGCTCGAATAGTGCATTGGATCGGAGTAGGTAAATATTCTGCACTGGCGGTTTCTCATATCTGCTAGGCTTCCGCGACGGTTTTCTTTTTGTATTTTTATGAAACTGATCTGTCCCTCCTTATACAACCAAAACGTTACATTACTCGTGAACTTCATAAATCAATAAAACCTACCCAGGAAAATCGATGTATCCACACTTTCCTTAAATTCTCTCCATGGTTTCAAGTTGAGCTGTTGATACCAAGACACAGGCAAAGCGTATAGTGAAGTGGTGGTTTCAAATATTTTTTTTACAGATTCAGAAAATATTTTTAATAACTCTTCATAATACAAACTTTCTGTCATACACTGTCCACCCAATAACACACTTATTATGACTGAAAAAAAATACATTCTAAAATAAAATTCAGTGATTTTGTCAAATTTTAGAAGATGACCGATAACTTACCGTCTGTAGACAGTCTGTATAAATCTGATTCTAATTCAGGCATAAAAGTTTCATCATTTTTAGCTTGTTTTCTCCATTTTTGCACGAATTTATTTATGGTATCTTTGACAGGACTCTGTAACCATTTGTCCGAATCCTCCCTCAGGACGTGTCTGTTCACTATTCTGCGGTTTGTTAACCATTCCTCATTATTCATGAAAAACAAGCCTCTCTTGGCTCCGTACAGTTGTTCGTATAATAGCCACGGTTCCGGCAACAAATGGGCAGGATATTTTCCCTCCAAGTTAAGAAATAATGTCTTCATTAGGGCAGGGTCACTTATGAATACCAGTCTGGATGCGCCCCCTAGTCTTTCATAAAATATTGGGCCTAAGTGTTTGTGCCTATTGTCGATATATTCATGTAACCTATAAGTCATATCAATGAATTAGATACACTAAGTATTATAACAATTAAATGAATATATGTATTATTAATATTCAACCAAAGCACCGTACAAATCGTGCCATAATGCTTTTGCCATCCCACTTGTTAAACAAAACTGAAAATCTGCTTTATACACATAAAGATTACACATAAAGCATAATTTCATTTATTTTTTGTTTAAAAAAAATACTTACCTCATTGTACCTACCTACTCCCATAAGGATTGCGTGATTCTCTGTACTATCTGTACCAGACAGAAGGTAAAAAAAATATTATAATGTGCAAGCTCAAATCCGTCAGTGGACAAGTACAGTACCTACTCTACCTATAAACTTATTTCAAGTGGTAAGGCTGGGTACGGGTAGAGCAGTTTCGGAAACTTATTGTATAGGAAAACAACGCTATCGACGCGCATGTTTTCGGATATCATCTTAAAAGCACAACCAACACGACTGGCAACAGACTTCTAGCTTGATGTTGATTTTACAGCTTGGCGCACCATGTAAACCAGACCACGCATCTTCGTTAATAAAAATCTTACTTGGATCCACTTCCTGCTGCTAGTAGCGATAATTTAGTACCAAACAGTGGTAACTCTCTTGGGTGAGGCATCTCTTCCATATTAAGAACATAATCTGCACTTGCCGATTTATAACTCCTGTAATAAGATACGGTTTTGTAGGACTGTTGGGACACTATTTGTCTAAGTCGGTGCATTTTTTCTGAAAAGTAATTGTTCGTAAAAATTTAACATTATTATTACACTTTTTGAATTCATTAATTTTAATATGTAAGCATAATAAACTTGATAAGTACCTATTCGTAGAAATAAAATAAAGAACGAAATGTTATAAAAAACCGGACAAAAACTCGTAACACGATCCTCAAGCTCTGTTTCTCAGAAAAGATTAAAATATTATTGCGGTAAGCAAGTCGATACAGTGATCCTGTTGAGGTATGTGAATTATGCATGTCTCTGACCCTTGTGGAAAAATAATATGCTAATCTCCTTTTTGTTTTATGATTCCACATTTTGTATCCCTCTTTGAAAAGATACTCTGGTCCGTAAAATAAATTTGACCAAACCTTAAATTGATTTAATCTACACCATTGTAGCAATAAACTAAAACTTTAGAAAAAAAATGTCCAAAGGGTTTGGGAAATTCTTTAGGACTGGAGGCCGTACCTCCTTTAGAGAATTGGCGGTACATGAATCAATACACAAAAATTTTGCTACTTTAGTCGCAATAATAATTCTCTAAGTTTGTGTAAAACTGCTTTTAGAGAGCGCATTTAAGTAAGTACTAATATAGATTCTTTGATTTATGTTTATCAATTAGATAACTATAATACTACTCATGAATCTTAGGACGCATGCTATTAATAAAAATGCTTTCATTGATAATTAATTCCAGCCCAAATGTGTGGTTAGAATATTTCGTCATGTAAGCATTAACACCAATATAAACAAAACTACGAGCAAAGTACACATAAATTAAAAATACGTACCTTATTTGCTGTCAGGAAATCTGAGACCTTTGTTATGTGATATTAAGTACGTATACTGTGGAATAACTCATTTTGAACGTATATATTTATTTAGGTTAGTATTTTACTTAATACCTAAACTATTTAATCTGGAAAACTTTAGACTCTATTTAATGTTAATCTATAAATACGACAGTGAGTTTGTTTGTTTCTTTCGCTTTTACACTTAAACCGCGCTGAGTCGATTATAATGAATTTTTGCATAGACATAGATAAGTTAGACATAAAGTTGGAATGGGAAACCAATAATGTATATCAATCTCATGCTGGCAGACTTTTAAGATGCTTTGCCATTGCGCAATAAACACCTAAAGGCGTGAAGCCACTATAATTGCCATACCTGTGTATTGTGTCTTACTTCACCCGGGCAGCAAAAGGGTATTTTTTCGCTATTTATATTTGAGGTTTGCTGGTCTGGTCCGAAGACACCCCAGGTTGGGGGGCTTGGTGTATGGCATTGTCTAGCCCGCGCACGCGCAATAAAGTGGTTCCGTAGTTACCCTCCACAAAACGTCAACTTATAATAGGTTGTACTTTGGGGCACTTCTGAACAGTACCTGGCTGCTTACGTTTATGAGCGCAGGCCTGTACGACCTGGACCCACCTCATTTATTTCGTAATATAAGGAGGAATGGCGATTGCAGTTTATTATATTTTTAAGCAATAAACTACTTGATGTATAAATCTTAATGACATTTTACTACTAAAGAAATACCACTCGATCAAGTTGTCAGACAGGATTCGAACCTGCGCATTCCGCTAACCAAGCGAATTTATAAATGTAGCACTTTAATGCATAAAATTAAAATGTGTAAACGCAGCAGCTTTAAGTTCAGTTTCGAATCACGTAATATTATCACACTATTTTATCAAAATATCTTAAAATTACGGTTTTATAATTAGTTGAGAGATGTAATTACTTGTAATTAAAAATCAGTTGTATTTGAGATATACAATCCCATGAAATCAGCTCTTTTGTTTCTACACTCCCTATTTATGAGTTCCTCGAGTAATCGGAACGCTAAAACCTAAAAAGTACATTTACGTCCTCCTTGGGTTTTTTTATTTGAGGTCGGTTAAAGATATTATCATCTTATTTATATTTGAGGTCGGCTATAGTTATTTATGATATTAGTGCGGTAAGTTAGTTATTACAGCAGACGAATGTTAGCCCGAGACAAAGTCGAGGGTTTCACCATAGTCACGAGTTTGTAATACCAATCCGCATCCGAATGTCAAACAAAGTTTTTTAACAGATTTGCGAGAAAACATTATACTAACGAACAATCTATACAACCTTCGCAAATTAATTTTTTAAACAAATGTGTTGAAAAATATATTATTAACTTATTTTTATGTGGGTAGTTAAGTAAAATGTAGATTCGTTGCTGCCTTCCCTCGCGTCGGTCACATATTTAGCGTAACTATTGGACAAGAGAATTTAAGCTATAAAAACAAATTTATCAAAATTTAAAACTTTCGCATATTTATGCTACAGATTTACATTGAATATGTTTGAATTTTGGCAATGTGTTGTAGCTCTACTTGCTTGTTTGACATTGTTACTGTCTGGGTATGTATTTTTTTAATCTTCATTGTATTTCCTACATATATAGTATGTACTTAGTATCAGCTTGTGGTTTGAATCTATCTGTAGGATAACGAAGTTGCTACATGCCACACAAGGCAACTAAGTGGTACTAAATGAATTTAAACTGTACATAGGTAACACATTGACAAAGGGTACATAATGATAACATCAGCCCAGCAGTGTGCCACCATCACTGATCGCCACCTCAACTTTTATTGTTCCATACATATAACTATTTACTTTGTATTGTGGCTAGGGGCTCCAGGCAGGGGGGACATTCCCGCTTCACATATGTGATTGTATTGATTGGTTCATAATGATAATTATTGTGTTTTCTGTAAATCTACCAGGTTTGTCCTTATTTCACCAATTGTGATATGCTGCCGTACGAGAAAGGAGTCAACCATTGAAAGTACATCAGAATTTATATGGAATAGAATGAAGAATGATAGCACATTCACCATCAACACCACAGTGTCATCAACACCGGCATATTTCTTTGTAAATGAACTGCAATTTGATAGCTATTCCTCTTCTATTTAATATTATTATAAAAAATCTCATACAATTAATTTTATAGGATAATATAATACAATAAAATGAAATATATTTAGTATAATATTTTTTATTAAATTATTATGAATTACTTAACTAAGTTTTCTTCTTTATTACCCTTATGTATTTCCTGCTTCTCCTCAGGTTTACATTCATTTACTTCTTGATCTTCCTCATCCTCATTGCTACTGTTCTCAGAGTGTGAAGATAAGGCTTGTTTGTCTTTGATATTTTCCAACTTCTTTTTTATTCTAACATTTTTTCTTTTTTTTTGTCTCTTAGCTCTCTTTTTTGCTGTTTTCTCTTCAGCAATTCGTCTGTTTTCTTCTATTTTCGTATGATATTCGTCATCCAGTTTTTCCTTTAATAATACAATGTATAAAATCAATCTTGTTATAAATTTATACATATAAATAAAATTGGAGTGTCTGTTTGTAATATTGAAATAACCGCTTTTTACTACATGCATATGAATATATAAACTGTACATACACCAAAATACCATTTTTTACAATTTTTGTCTGTCTGTCTGTCTGTTCCGGCTAATATCTGAAATGGCTGGACCGAGTTTGACGGGGCTCTTATTGGCAGTTAGCTGATGTAATATGGAGTAACTTAGGTTACTTTTATTTTAGAAAAAAAAAAACTAAAAGATAATGTGGACGAAGTCGCGGTCGGCCACAGTGATATAGTAAAAATAATTAAGGTACAGTCTTACTTTTTGATTTTGACTGTTTGATAAAAATATATGTATTAAAATTGTTAAAACTGTTTAAAGTACTTTAATAAATGTGTAGTACTAATGGAGCTAAATCGAAAAAGGAAGGACTTGGCTGTCAACTTCACAAGCTAAGCTGTAATTTCTGTACTGCAGGCAAAAAACAAACATCAAATATTTCTTGGGTTCCTCGTATTAAGCCTAGTGTACAAGCCCTAAATTAAATAAAGGGAAACAAAAGATTTATGTTAATTAAAACTATGTTTTAACTCATAGTAAACAATAACTTGTACTCATTTGCAAAAATTTCAAATAACATGCCTAAGCTCAATATATTTCATTGTAACACCTCTTTCTTGGGTACTTAATTCCATTATATGTAATTGAATTTCGGGGTAATTTGTAGGGGGGGTGGAGGGGGGGCTCCCCCCGACCCCCCCGCCATAAAAGATTTTTGGCGGAAATGCAGTTTTTTTTTTTACCTAACCTAAAAATTCATTAAATCTGTTAAATGTAGTGGAATTTCAGGGGGATAGGTATTAGGGAAGACCCCTCAGAGGGAAGGGTAAATCCCCCTCCCCCCTTCCTTCGTTTTTTTACAGAAATGATAATTATAAAAAATTAGAGGGGTTTTAAAGGTAAAACTGTACTTCCAGGGCCTAGAGATGATATTTGATTTTTTTGTAGAAAAAGTCTCTATTAACGAATTTTTCTTTCTGGCGCTTCGCCGGCCGCTGCCGCGGCACGCTCGCTTCGCTCGCTCGGCTCGCGCGTTAAGGTCACAACACTAACCTAACCTAACCTAACCTAGTGTGAAGTATCACCACACAAGCGGCTCATTAGAGTCCAAAACTCGCACTACACTCGACTCTTCAGGCGAAGGGCCAGCAGAACTCGAGGTCGAAGGCTTTGAGGATGCCATGGTAGTCAGACGACGTTAATATCAACAGGAGTACGAAAAAGCTCTCAACTGCGACGAACACAAACACTGACTGGCAGATCTCATTAATGGCGGTAAATTGTCACATTTTGACAATAGTACCAACATAATAAACTTATATTTACCATAGACAACGAGAAACATGTTATTTTTGCATAAAAAAATGGCAGCACTGATCAAAATTGCTGTCAAAATTGACTCATAACCTACAAAATATTAATTTTCAATAATTTTTTTTAGAGTTCTATTCGTTTCCGCCTAAAAAGATTTCGTGTACGTGTTTTTAATAGTTAACACTTTGCGTGACAAAAATTTCAGCTTGCAACTCAATTACATATAATGGAAAGCTGAGCCAATTATTCTTCATTATCAACAAAAAAAAACAGTAAATGGCCATAATTAATGCCTTAAAACAAGTTATTATGGGTTTACCTTTTCACTTTTTTCTTGTATAAATTTTTGACGTGCATATTCTTTTCTTCTTAGATGTCTGTACACATGAAACTCTCCAGACCCAGCACCAGCACTTGATCCCATAACATTACGCACAAAGTCTGGAGGTGGTGCCAATGACTTCTGCCGTGGAGGATCTGGTAGAACCACCGGTTTTTCCTATATAGAACAAAGTTTTAATATAAATACTAGAATGAAAATACTAATGATTCCATCAAAGATATTAATAAACTATACTCTTTGAACTTATTTCGATAAATTATTATCGACACTTACAGGATTTTTCATTAATTTTTCTAGCTTCAACCTTTGCAAATCTGTAGCATTTTTTATTATTATTGGTTTTTTTTCTTCCGCTTTTGATTCCTTGTCACTCATTTGGATGAGGAAAGCAATATTCAGCTATTTAAAGAATAATTTAAATAAAATATAAATTCCTTCAGACTCTCCTTTTCCTTGTTTTGTTATGAAATTTCTTTCTGTAATCTATGCTATTTTTTTTATTATTTATGACCATGGATACAAGTCTTTCAGTCGTAAACATAAATACAAATCTTATGATCCTACAATACATGTGCAATTAAATAAATATATTTTACCAATTAATGTCTTTTTGTGAAGGAAAATATACTTTACGTTAATAAACATTATTAATGATAATAGTGGTAAGTAATATAATTTATACGTACATTTAATTTGATATTTATACAAAGATTATATTACAATACATTAAAATTAATTTATCGCAATATGAATCCCGTTCGTGTTGTTATGAATTTCTGTATATACCAAGAAAAAGAAGAAAATAGAATTTGTCAGTTGGATAATGTCATCGATAATATTGTGGAGCGAATTGTGATTAATATAGGGCAATCATTTTCATTATCGTCTTGGGCGTCTTAATCTGGTGTAATTTAAAATTAATCTACATATATGTTTTGCTTGTATGTACTTGATAGAGTACTTTATGTTGGAAATAAAACTGAAAAGATAATATTTTTATTATGTTGTATTTCTAATGTTTGTAGAAAGTCACACAAATAATAATAACTAGGTACCGTAGTTAAAAATGAAAATACGCTCCAGAGTATATGGTAATAATACTTATAGGTACTATAAAATATGATTATCTCATTTCATCATTATACATGACATGAAAAGCTTCCGAAACTCTGCTTCTAAAAAAGGAGTTGAATCCTTTTTTATTGTTATCTGGAATAAAGTATAGAGAAAAGAAATACCGTAAACGTACCTTTAAACAGGACTGAATACTGTTAACTATAACCCGAGGCGAGTGAGAGATAATAATGGAGGCCTTTTGTCCCTGTCTGATAGGGTGCCAACAACTTATTTTCCTGAACTCAAAATAACGAGTTATTCATAAAATCAGAAGTGCAAACCTAATTTATTTATTTATTTATTTATTGCACTCATGTGGTTATTACAGACGTTACATAAAGATTAGATACAGACACATGAACCCTGAAAGGGTATAGCAATTTAATTTAAAATGTCCTTAATTAATTAATATTAATAATCTACTTCAATTAAATTTAAGTAATTAAAATTAACTTGAACATAATTATTAACTAATAAGTAATAACACTGATAAATAGCATTCAATAATAACAATAATAATAATTTAAAATAAAATAACATTACGTAGGAACATTAAAAAAACATAAAAAATAAATAAGGTCTTGCTTAAATTAACTAGGTACTATTTAAAATTGAAAAACTCTTGCATCGAATAAAAGCTGGTCTTTGATAAAAATGATTTCAGTAGTTTTTTAAAATTGACTACGTTTTTTTCGTTTTTTATATGTTCGGGAATTTTATTGTACACTTTCACGGCCATAGCAAAAGGTCCTGTGTGTACTAAATGCAATTTGGAATTTGGACGGGATAATTATAGGTTAATAGATAAAGTCGTCACTATTTTTAAAAATTGGCAATTGAAAAACACTTGTTCCAATCATCCATACTATTATAGTATTATATGATGAAAAAGAATATTCTTTTACTTTACTAAACTTTTTTTATCAGCTTATGGTACGCTTGGTGATAAATGGCCACCAGCCTATAGATAGAGCTTGCAATATTAAAAATATCACTCGCGCCGTTGCCTACTCTGCTTGACTCTATCCCCTACCCCGTCGAGCTTAGGAACCTTGCTCACCAACAGAAACACAACATATGCTTATCATATATATCACATACTCACTGTTCTTGTTATCCTGACTTATTTTAAATTATGGTTACGTCAACTGTTGATTAATTACTTTACCTACAGCTTAAAAAGATTTTTTCTTTCCACTGAACGGCTGCATTCCCTAAGTACTGAGCAAGTAATCTATATCCCTATCCCTAGGAAATATCCCTACAATAGCTACGCCTCAATTCTTTGTATTGAATTAATTGCGGCACAAACAGTTTGTGATGTATGATGCAATAAAAAATTAAACTAAATGGTCATTTTCAAAGAGAAAAAAATGGATGCGTGTAACTTATGTACGCGCGTGAGAAGTTATACTTCTTTAGCATCATTAAAAATATTTTTTAATTGCATGCAAATAATTAATAATTACAATAAAATAATAAAAGGACTGGAAAAGGATAGTTAACACAGTCAATTAAGTTCAGTTTTAATTTGAAAAATTAAATAAATATTCAATTAAAATCACTACTGAATTTAAGTTATTAGTCCATATGTAATTAGCACTTGTAAGTAACTAAAACACGTTGTGTCTATATAGAAACATGTGGATAAATATTATAAATATGAAAACAGTGATCAAAGGCGACGAGCGTGCCAACATTGTTTTTGACAACGCGATCATCTTATGGAGCTCCGTGGATCGTTCAAAGTACCTTTCGAACAGTTGTCTAATAATGGTGGATTATTAACCACTAAATGGTTAATAATCCACCATTATTAGACACTAACATTCATAACGCGCCCGCGGCCAACTTCATGGTGTTACTATTGTGTTACAGTGATGCGCGCGCATCTCGAAATTTCACTCACATGATTTTTTCATAACGCGCCCGCGGCCAACTTCATGCTGTTACTTTTGGGTTACAGTGATGCGCGCGCATCTAAAAATTTCACTCTCATCATTTTTTCATAACGCGCCTAAAGAAGTATAACTTCAAAAATTTAAATGTAAAAAATTAGTATGTGGTTGACCATGGGGAAATAACCGGTTTACGCTTGCTGGCGGTAAAGGTGATTGAGCCTCTATATTAGGGCTCAATTTATACCGCCACGGAATGGAATTATTAGTTTATTTTTTTTTATTTTATCAAAAAAAATTATGCTAAAATTAGCTTCCATTCCATTCCGTGGCGGCATAAATTGAGCCCTATTAAAGAGGCTCAATCGACTTTACCGCCTGCAAGCGTAAACCGGTTATTTACCCATGGCCAACGATATTAAATACCCTAGATACACCAACACGAACAAAATCGTGCCTGAAACATACTTAAAAGGTACATCGGACGATCCACGGAGTTCCGTAATATGATCGCGTTGTCAAAAACAATATAAGGCATTATTTAAACATTGAAAGTCACCTTTAGTGCGTAATTTATAAGGTCTTAAATGCAAGCTCGTTAAATTTTACTACTTATTGCTATATGCGGAAGAATATAGACCATATTTCTTTGACGCTACGTGCAATTTTGAATGCGCTGTTAGCAATATAGAAGGTACGGACCGCGAGGAAAAGAGAAGGCTAAATAACCGACCTTGCATTTGAATATCACAGATATTTTCTATTAAGTATTACAACAAAAATTTGCTTCAAATGCGTTAAATTAAGAAACGTTGATTACAGTACAAGTATTTTTTTCGCATTATTTCACGGAGCTCTGCTGCATGTTGACTTTTCAACGGTCTGCGCGTGTCTGTAAACCAAGAAGTGATTGAGTGGAGTTCAAGCACTTCTTGATTAGGACACATTTTGAGCGGATGTGGTGTATCCAGGGGATTTAATATCGTTGCCTATGGTATATAAAAACAAAACACAATATATATACATATATTTTTTTATTAAGTATTTAATTTCAGATACAAATTATTATTGAAGTGTTAACCTAAAACATTTGATTTATTGAACGGCCGCCATAACGCTGTCTTCGTTCTTTTTGAGGATGACGAAGCCCTCCATAACAGGCGAGAGCGGGATATACTCGTCGGTGGCTAACTCGGCGCGCTCGCCGAACGAGAGCAGCACTGGAGTGGTGTGTGTGTGAGAACCGGCTATGGTCTTAGGTGTGCCGGCTTTGCCAATCACGTCCACAGCCTGGAAAGGAGAATCATCATCATTAGCCTATTAATGTCCCCACTGCTGGGGCACAGGCCTTCCCTATGGATGGATTAGGGAGATTGGGCCATGACCCACCACGCGGGCCCAGTGCGGATTGGCGGGTGCTAGCGACTGCAGATGCAGCCAGGACCAACGGCTTAACGTGCCTTCCGAAGCACGGAGGAACTCGAGATAGAAGATTTTTGGTCACCCATCCAATGACCGACCACTGCGAAAGTTGCCTAACTTCAACGATCGCAGCCGAACGCGCTAACCGCCCGCGCCATCGAGCTGCTCGAGGAAAGGAGAATAAATAAGTATCAATAAACTACAGACACCCAAGCACGAATTTTTACAGTCGTAACATTTTGTATAGAAGGAGCCAGTTTGTTCTTACGTCCGGTAGGGGCGCTGCTTAGTTTTCATAGAAACTTTGACGATGCAATACGAAAACGGAGCCGTCAGAATTCGTGCTTGGGCCTCAGGATATACAGGAACTGAAAGGATTAGTAAATTTTTTTCAGGAAAACCATGTCTAAATAAGGGCGTGGCTCGGGGTTATGTGACACGCCCATCCTACTCCTATCGTCCAGCTCTATGGTTCGGCGAAATTAAGTAGTGCTCTATCCTCTAAAACCAAATTTTAAATGGATCCGTCACACATTCCGAAGACGTAAGTTTGCCCAATGTGTGTCGTCGAGAGCACACTCACAGAAACATAACCCTACTTCCACGACAACGACAAAAACCAACAAAATGCGGAAATGCCCAGTCGCCTTAATTATTATTTGTATGCTTTATTAAGATATTTGTTTTCTCATTCTATTATTATTGCAAAGAAAGTGACATTATCAACTTTCATCATCATCATCACAGCCTATTAATGTTGCCACTGTTGGGGCATAAGCCTTCCCTAATGGTGAATATTGGGCCATGACCCACCAAGTAGGCCTAATGAGGATTGGTGGGTGCTAACGGCTGCGGATGCAGCCAGGTTCAACGGATTAAAGTGCCCTCTTAAGCATGGAAGAGCTCAAGATAATAAGTTTTGGTCACCCATCCAATGGACGGACGGACCATTGCAAAAGTTGCTTAACTTCCACGATCGCTAGCCGAGCACGCTAACCGGCTGCGCCATCGAGCTCCTCATTATCAACTTAAGTCAAACTTAAAAGTTAATGAACTTCTCTGAGTGAAGCCGTTAGTATAGGAATGACAACTGACTAAGATTATCAAAAAGTATTGGACGCATAGTTTTTCTTTATTCACAAAATCAAAACATCACTCACAGAGATATATTTACTTGAAATGTCGCATGACATCACATTTGGATAAAAATGTTACTTAAAAGTGACGTCACGAGCCCCCCCCCCCCTCTCCACCGCTGCCGCCTGTCACCCATAGAGGTATAAGAATAGAGTAGGGAAGATATAGACTCTACTACAAGTGGAAGTGTCCCTCTAATAGAAAGAGAAAGAAGATGAGAGACCGCTAGCTTTCTCTCTCTAATCGCGCATGCACATTGGCAACCGTAAGCATCTTACTATTTCGATGTAATGCCATTGGATGGCATGCGTCACAAGAGAGATGATAGCTAGCGGTCTCTCATCTTCTTTCTCTTTCTACTAGACGGACACATTTAGAGCCGCCTTCCCCACTCTATTCTTATACCTCTATACTCTCACCGCGCGATATATCGTCTTCTCCCTCCACGCGGCCGTAACACTTTTTCGTGACAGAAAAATCGTTTATAAAAAAGTTTCACTTGAATAACGTACCTGTCCGACGCGCACGCTGACGTTGAGGGGCTGCAGGTTTTCGTCGAGGGTGACGAGCCAACGGGGCTGCATCGCCGTAGCCAGCACGTACAATAAGTAGTGCGATTTGCCGAGAATTACTGCGAAAATAAATTAAATAATTGTATTATTTTTACATGGCAAATAAATAATCTTTTGAGTTAATTTATTTATTATAAAATCTTTATTAGAAACTAGTGGGTGCCCGAGACTTCGTTGGCGTGGAAACTTGGTTTCACATACAAACTTTCACCCTCCCCCTCATTTCAACCCTTTAATGGATGATTTCTAGGATAAAAAACTATCCTTTGTCCTTCCCCGGGACTCACTATTTTTATATCAAATTTTATCTAGATCCGTTCATTGGTTTAAGCGTGAAGAGGTAACAGACCGAGAGACACACTTTCGTATTTATAATATTAGTATGGAGTATGGATAAATAATATTATGTCTTAAGTCTTCTGTGTTATATTAAGAAAAATAGGGAAGAATACACTGAAGTCTATCACAGAAGAAAAAAATGTAGATGTAGGTAAATAGTCTAACAAGCTGTCACTGTAGATTTTAAACAAACTTATAAGAAACTATTTTATACAGCGATACCACAAATAGGATACCTTTGCGCTCAAGGTCAAAACAAAGCATAATTTCTGTCACATACACATTGATGCTTCGTTTACACTTTTACAGGCATTCTCACGCTGTTTCAAGCAAAATTCATACGTGTTGGCAAATTGAAAAGTGGGAAGTTTATGTAATTATTTTGGAGGATGATAGCGGGCGGCTACCTTCCTTCTAGCTGGATACTTTCTGTTTTGTGTGGTCACGGTGCCCTTGCCACGTGTGAGTGTGTGTGGTGACGGTGACGGTGACGGGTGTGCGAGTGAGGCACTCACTGTTCTTGCAGTCTAGGAAGGCGGTGAGCACGACCAGCAGGCCGGCGAGCGCGGGCTGGTTGACGAGGCGGCGGTCGGTGTGCGCGGGGCACAGCGTCACCGTGCCCTTGAAGTTTGTGTGGTGACGGTGACGGGTGTGCGGGTGGGGCACTCACTGTTCTTGCAGTCTAGGAAGGCGGTGAGCACTACCAGCAGGCCGGCGAGCGCGGGCTGGTTGACGAGGCGGCGGTCGGCGTGCGCGGGGCACAGCGTCACGGTGCCCTTGAAGTGTGTGTGGTGACGGTGACGGTGACGGGTGTGCGGGTGGGGCACTCACTGTTCTTGCAGTCTAGGAAGGCGGTGAGCACGACCAGCAGGCCGGCGAGCGCGGGCTGGTTGACGAGGCGGCGGTCGGCGTGCGCGGGGCACAGCGTCACGGTGCCCTTGAAGTTTGTGTGGTGACGGTGACGGTGACGGGTGTGCGGGTGGGGCACTCACTGTTCTTGCAGTCTAGGAAGGCGGTGAGCACGACCAGCAGGCCGGCGAGCGCGGGCTGGTTGACGAGGCGGCGGTCGGCGTGCGCGGGGCACAGCGTCACGGTGCCCTTGAAGTGTGTGTGGTGACGGTGACGGTGACGGGTGTGCGGGTGGGGCACTCACTGTTCTTGCAGTCTAGGAAGGCAGTGAGCACGACCAGCAGGCCGGCGAGCGCGGGCTGGTTGACGAGGCGGCGGTCGGCGTGCGCGGGGCACAGCGTCACGGTGCCCTTGCCGCGTGTGAGTGTGTGTGGTGACGGTGACGGTGACGGGTGTGCGGGTGGGGCACTCACTGTTCTTGCAGTCTAGGAAGGCGGTGAGCACGACCAGCAGGCCGGCGAGCGCGGGCTGGTTGACGAGGCGGCGGTCGGCGTGCGCGGGGCACAGCGTCACGGTGCCCTTGCCGCGTGTGAGTGTGTGTGGTGACGGTGACGGTGACGGGTGTGCGGGTGGGGCACTCACTGTTCTTGCAGTCTAGGAAGGCGGTGAGCACGACCAGCAGGCCGGCGAGCGCGGGCTGGTTGACGAGGCGGCGGTCGGCGTGCGCGGGGCACAGCGTCACGGTGCCCTTGCCGCGTGTGAGTGTGTGTGGTGACGGTGACGGTGACGGGTGTGCGGGTGGGGCACTCACTGTTCTTGCAGTCTAGGAAGGCGGTGAGCACGACCAGCAGGCCGGCGAGCGCGGGCTGGTTGACGAGGCGGCGGTCGGCGTGCGCGGGGCACAGCGTCACGGTGCCCTTGCCGCGTGTGAGTGTGTGTGGTGACGGTGACGGTGACGGGTGTGCGGGTGGGGCACTCACTGTTCTTGCAGTCTAGGAAGGCGGTGAGCACGACCAGCAGGCCGGCGAGCGCGGGCTGGTTGACGAGGCGGCGGTCGGCGTGCGCGGGGCACAGCGTCACGGTGCCCTTGCCCGCGTGGCAGAGCCCCTGCGCGAGCCGCACCATGAACAGGTGCACCGGTGATTTGCCGTGGTACAATGCGAGCGCGCGCAGCATTGTTGCCAACCTACAACAACGCGACAGTTGTGATTCGGGACGCGATTCTGACATCATTCTCTAAGCTTAAAACTAAATTTAACATCAGTCTCTCTCTTTAATTCGGTATAAAAAATGACAAGGGCACTGTTGTCAAATATAATTTTAAGTATAGAGAATTATACCAGAATCGACACCGTATGGGGAAGTAACTTCCACTTTACAGAAGACCAAAGAAAAATATTTTTTTTAACGGGGGAAATGCATGACACCTACCCGCTCATTAAAGAACAAGAAAGCGAGTGCGAGTTATGTCGGACGGCATGCATTTGTGACAATAATAACAGTGTACAAACTTAACAAAATTATAAAAAGAAATAAAGTATGCATTATATTCAGAAACATGTTTTTGTTTCACTCACATTGAACAGGCATTTGAACATATGCAATGCGACAGAACAATTATTGTGCAGTAAGAAAACAGGAGATACTACAAAATTAATAAAAATGTTAGTAGAACACATACCTGGCATTATTGGTGCCTGCTCCAACTAGACCCATGGCGAAGATAGCGTTGTACGCGACGTCGTTGTCCGAGTCGTGTGAATACTTGTTGAGTACGTCGATGACCGCCAGTTGAGGGTTTGAGACGGAGCACAGCGCAATAGCCAGGGGCACGGCGCGACGCACCGCCGGCTCGCCGTAACGACCCTGCACGATTCATTTATTTATACTCAATAGGCTATTGGACAGTATGAAAAATTATGTACCAATTGTTGGTATTTAATATGAATATTAGCAGCGATTTTATTATTCTAAAAAGAGCAAATAATTTATAACTTTTCTATAAAATCATCAAATAGAAATGATGTTTTTGCGCCATGGTCATGTGACTGGAAACGCCTGAGATTAGCCAAGACTAAAATGACGGCACACACTAGTATACTACGGGCCAAAGTGACATTACATTGTATCGTATGACGTTTTAATGACAGTCGTGTGACGTCTCACACTAGTGCGACGCAATAAGATCCAGATAAACGTTTTGGCGACCAATAGTTTTTTTTGTTATTTAGTTGTTTTTTACTGAATTACACAACAGAATCAAAAATATCCACTTTTTATGGCCTCCATAAGTTTAAGTTAATTTAATAACGTGAGATCGTATTCTAAACTTTATCAAATATCCTATTAAAGGACAGTTCAAATGAGTGCGGAGAGTTGTATTGAGTCTTCGTCAGACTCAAAATTTTTATGATTATGTACCCTTAGCACGAACCATTATCGAATTCAAATAGTTGAATTCGATCTAGATATACGTCAAATGTGTACTTATTTTGAGTTGTTGTTACGTCCGTTGTGGCACTACTGTACCCCTAGCACGAATCATTATCGAATTTGAATAGTTTGCGAGTGAGAAATGTCAATGTCAAATTTTGTATGGAAACATGAACAACAGTGCCACAAAGTACGTAACGAGAACTAAAAATCAGTACACATTTGACAATGACATTACGGACTCGCAAACTATTTGAATTCGATATTGGTTCGTGCTAAGGGTACTGTTCTAGTTTCTATACAAATTTGACATGACATTTCGCTCTCGAAAACTCGAGAATTCTATATTGGTTCGTGCTAGAGGTAATAACTTTGTTTAAAAAATATAGAATTTATTTAACCCTCGTTTATTTTTCTAAATAATAATTTTAATTACATAAACATTGATTTGCAAATGGCAAGTTTAATTTGCGTTCAGAAACTCGATCTAAAACTTTCGTTTACACAAAGGATGCATATTCGTATGTGACCTAGTAATAGTGAATGATTATTCATAGCTACTCCGGCGGTAATGCAGAGATGAGCGGAATTGAAGAGCTAGATTTTGTTCAACGCAGTCTTAATAAATAAATATTATTAAAAGTCGTATGTTTTTTTTCTCAATGTTAGTAGATACATTTTACTAAAAAAAATCTTATGGTTTTTCTCACTTCATCATCATCATCATCGGCCTCTTAATGTCCCCACTACTGGGGCACAGGCCTTCCCTATGGATGGAACAGGGAGATTAGGCCATGACCCACCACGCGGGCTCAGTGCGGATTGGCGGGTGCTAACGACTGCAGATGCAACCGGGACCAACGGCTTAACGTGCCTTCCGAAGCACGGAGGAACTCGAGATAGAAAAATTTTTTTTGGTCACCCATCCAATTACCGACCACTGCAAAAGTTGCTTAACTACAACGATCACAGCCGAACGTGCTAACCACCTGCGCCATCGAGCTCCTCACTTTTCACTTAACCTTATTAAATAAGTTTTATAAAATATTATCTTTTTTTTGCTCACTCTACCCATTTGGTTTGAATTGACAGCTATAAATAACGTCACAATATGGCGCCCAGTCGGTCCTATTCTCAGTTGAATCGCATTATAACTACATATACTGACCAATTGTCCGAAGATCCGCGTGCACATCTCAGCGCCGGTTTCTTCGGCCATTGCGATCACTGCCACGCCCAGCGTCGCCACGGCTTGTACCGACGACAACTCTTTGTTTGCCTCCTTTTCCTTGTCCTTCTCCTTGCTCTTGCTGTCTTTCGATTTACCTGCATTTGTTTTTGACTATGTTTAGTTTTTGTTAAACTTACATCGATAGTTTATGCCACTTCAAGTACACAGGTAGTATAGTATACATATAAAATTGTGACAAAAAAATATTTTCTTTCTAATTTACCTATAGTAAAATTTTACTAACGATGAACCAACGCGGCTTTAGCATTGCTAATACTTACAAAGAAATTATATAGATTTTTCTAAAGCAAGTTTTATTGATAACAGCATTTCTATGATTTATTACTAATTGTTCTACTAGACTGTGCCCGAGACTTCATCTGAAGGGCGACTTTAGAATTCAAAAAGAAATCCTATAAGGAAACTTTTATTTTGCTTGGTGAGTTTTACACAAGCTTTCCTCACATCACGCCTTACAGACAATCACTGTATTCCATCTATAATCTTAGATTAAAAGCAATCCTAAATTGTCCATGAACTATAGATCGTCCTGTAATCCACGTTTCAATAGCAGGGAGGTTTCACAATCCGCCATAGACAACAGCAGTTTAATCAATTTTTCCACAATAGGTCTAATTCTGGCATGATCCTCTAAACTGTACTTTATCACTACTTGGCATCAGGTGGGGTAGTCATTTGCCTATCTAGCTATAAAAAAAAACTTGACAACAGTCTCGCCTTGTCATTCTGTATAGTGTATGTCAAGGATATACTCTTGACAAATGTATATTACGATTTGGCATTATGGCAGAAATGCCCAATGTTTCTTCTTATGTGATGAAAAATGAATATATATTTACATATTTTTTTAAGCATTCGTCAGCTAGATGTTAAAATCTAAAGATTTATTTCTAGAAAAAATGCCATGCCGACTAGGCAGCATCAATAATTAATTTATACAGAAAATATTTTATTATGCAAAATAGATCTCTGCACTATGCCCTAATGCTCATAAACTAATATCTCCAAATCTCTATCGCTATCATCGAGCAGCAATTCTCCAAGAAAGTGCTAAATTTAATTACAAAATGTATGATAATCCGTCGAAAACAAGGGATAAAAAAACGATAGTTTAACTTAGACAAATCGTCTGGCAAAAAACATTAGTTTGCACATTGAAACTGTCATTTTCATACAAAAATCCATCTTCACTGCGGATCGTTCCACCCACGGATAGTTTACATTGATTGATCAAAGATTCAAAACAAAGTTTGACTATTGAAACGTTTTTAGCAACCCAAAGATAAATAAATATCTATGATTGGAGTATTCAGATTGATATCGAATATTGGGATTGACCGTTATGAGACATCACACTTACACACTACTTATTAAAATATAAAACAGATAAGTATTGATACGAAATAATAATAATTGACATATTCACTTTTATTCTTATCATCTTTGCTGCTGCTGCTGCTGGAGCTAGAGCTAGAACTGGTGCTCTCCTTAGTCTCTTTTTTGTCTTGCTTCTTGAAGGCAGTGTCCTCAGCTGATGATTGTTCATTCTGTTGATAAAATTATGAAAAAATACAATTGGATTTTTTTAATCAAACTCACAGAACCAAGTCAGTGTCAGTACACTTTTGGTTTCGGTTGTTCGAAATTAATTGACAGTTTACGGTCGATGTAATTAAATTTACACGTCAATGCCAGTCTCTCCATGGCTCCAGTGAACATTTTGAACGATTTCTTCAGTAAAACCACAGACAAATAAACTTGCGCAGTAAACGTTTTTGTATAATAATAATAAATCTTTATTCAATATCAATTATTACATGTGAATGAATGACTTAAATCTAAGAAATACAAAAGGAGAAAAAAACTACACAGCCTGAACTAGGATTGTCCTGTGTTTCAGGCAGAATGAAATATAGCTACTGCGCAGGTTCCTTATTTATGATCGTTGCTGAAGAAGTTTGCCGGGATGTATACTCACATCAGTGTCATAATGTTTGGAGCAGATATGCAACATTTGTTGTACGACGAGCACATCGCCGGTGCCTGCGTACGCGCACATAGACAAGGTAGTCTGGCAGAGCGACTGTTGCGGTTCAGGTAATACTTCCAATGCGGCCATAGTAGCTTCCGTTCGTTCCTTGCAACCTAGAGGAAAAGAAAATTTATATATATGTATATTTTTTTTTATGTATAATGGTGTTTGATGACAATCTCGCCTGATGGAAAGCGATGATGAGGCCTAGGATGGTACACGCCTGCCTAGAAGATGCCTGTTTACTCTGGCCTTGAAGATTTCCAGATTATATTGGTCCGGGAAAACAGACCTCGACAAGGAGTTCCACTCCCTAGCCGTTCGCATAATGAAAGCGGAAGCAAATCGCTTCGTGCGAATGGGAGGAGATTTCTAAACACAAAATATAGCATCGATCTAAAAAAAACGGTGTTATAGTAGCAAAAATGTCTTTTGTACACTTAGCACGAACCAATATCGATTTCGAATAGTTGAATTCGATCTCGAAGCGCTTCAAATGACAAGCTGCCTTATTCTAAAACGCGAAGTAAGTTAGCCATGGTTTAAACCGAATGCTGTCTCCGTCTTATTTTTAGCAAACAAAAGTGACAGTCTCAGTTTTAAACCAGATGTAACTATAGTCAACGTTTTGTAATAAGGCGGAAGTAGTTTTGTATGGAAGATTTTTCATTTTCGTTACGTCCGTTATGGCGCTGTTCAAACTTCCATACAAAACTTCTTGATATTTAATTATGCGTATTGTGATTGAATTCAACTATTCTATTTCGATATTGGCTCGTGCTAAGGGTACAGCTCAATACATGCCATGACCCTTGTTTCAACCAGTGGCCAAGTTATTACTATTCTTTTTATATGTATGTGTTGCTTCAGTCTCCTACCTATGCACAAATAAGCATGTTTTAGTAATATTTTAATTTAACTTTGCATGGTCACTAGCATTAGGTATATTATTTTATAAGCGGCATCGCTTCCAAGCATTTTGTTTTTTACAAGGCTTTGCGAGTCCTCAATATTTTGGCACTGTTGCAAGTGCCATGATCACGAAGTATCCGGAGTAAGTGTTATAAAGCATGTTTTAAACCACATTAGATAAACATAGGATCACTTTCCTCAGTTTATTAAAAAGCATCAGTGTGTAGACAGTCTTTATCAAACAATCGCTAGCAAAAGATAACAACCTTGCTCTAGCGTCGATAACTTAAGGCTACAAAAGTTAGTTCAATTCTTTTACGCGAAGAAAGAACAGTCTAAAACAAATCGTACTCACCTAAGAAACATAATCCAAGACCCAAATGTAAAAATCTGGCGTACGTTGAGGAGTGTAAATCCTTGTTGTCATCGATAAGGCGTTGGATAATAGCACAGGTCACCTGCATATTTGGGGAAACACAAATTTAATATAGAAGTTGTGGATGTTATTATGAGATTACTAAGCATTTGTAATGCTGGAAAGTACAGCTCAACATCGTTACCCACTAGTTTTAATCTGTTGCCACAGAAATTTAGCTAAAAGTTCTTTCTATATTTTTTTTATATTTTGCTGACTCAATCAAACTTTAGATTCTTTTATCAATGTTACCAGTAACTATATAAAACTTGATGCAATAAGGTCGAAATCTCCAGGTTAAACGTTTGCGTTAAAAGGTCAACTAAAACATTTATCGCAATCATTGAGACTTTAGAGTAATTATATATTATATTTCTTTTGATCTTTATTATTACAGTAGGAGTGTCACTCGAGTAATGCCATTACTTGGCTATTCGTAATTGTTATTTATAAACGTGTCAACAGTCTGTCCTTATCATGCTTTTTAAGGAATGAAAAGGACAGACTGGTGTTAAATTTACAAATAGCAAACACGAATAGCCAATTGAAGTGAAGGCGCGACCGTGTCGCTGAGAGTACAGTGAGGTAGCGAGTGATACAAGGGTTGCCAACTGTAAAAAATATATAGAAACTACGTAAAGATGATATTTATCAGTAAAAGCTTAGTAAAAAAATTAAAATTTAATAAGAAAGGCACAGCGCTCAGATAGGGTTACTATTCAAAAATTTAAAAAGTCCTGACAAAAAGCCGGGCATTTCGATAAAAGTCAGGACATTTTAGTCACAAAATGCAAACATCACCCACTTAGTTACAGAAATATTATACGCGTAGTAGCAGACGCTCGCATCGCGAGGGGGATCTCATTATTGATTTTTAAAGATAATTTATATTTTGTTTTAAATTAATGAGAACTTAATAAAGATTATTTGACTTATTTGATATAACTTAATTAGTAGTTTTACTCATATTCCATCTCATTAAAAAAATCCGGACAAATTAAAAAGCCGGACAAAGTCGGGACAAACGGCAAAAAGTCCGGACATGTCCAGACAAATCCGGACGGATGGTAACCCTACGCTCAGATCAAATAAAAGTAAAGAAGGAGCGCTGCGAACAAGAACGTGGCACCGGTTTTGTACGCATGTGGTGCGTGGGTCGGTGTTGCCATCATCATTCAAATTGCCCGAATATTACAGAAACAACTATGTATTAAAATTAATTATACGAAAGCATATTATATGTATACATTTAGTACTTGTTGCGTTAGAAAAAAACAGTGCAAAATAAACTGTGAAAAGAAATAGGAAAAGAGTTATAAAAATAATATTACTGGGCATTTAATTTTCAAACACTATTTTATTTATTTGTAAAATCTTCTGGGTTGTTTCGGAGAACTGGAATTTATTTAATAAAAAACAAGTTTCAACGGTATAGGTGCACTGATTTATTTATTTATTGACGTTTCTACCTAACCTACGATACGGTTTCGACGTTTTAAAGGTAGCTCGACAAAGTAAATAAAATCATAATTCAGACGACGCATCCTGAAAAAGATGCGAAAGGTCAATAAATTAATAAATCAGTGCATCTATACCATTGAAACTTGTTTTACCTAATGGGTGGTGCGCGTGAAAAACCTAAGAAACAAATATTTATTTAATACTTCAACAGATGTTTGTTTGCTATTTATGATAATGTTTTGAAAAATATTCATTTAAACGTAAAATAATTATTTAAACCACATACCTACTATATTTTTAGAGGTAACAGCTTCGAAAATACTATATTTGATAGACAACAAGTTGCCCATCGTTAGTGAGACATTCCCTCGATATCATCATGTTACTCACGTCACCGTTGCAGGAGCCGTCGGCTATGGGGCCGCAGGAGACGGCGGCGAGGACGCAGATCTCGGCGGGCGCGACCGTGTCGCAGCTTACAGTGAGGCAGCGAGTGAGACATTCCCTCGATATCAACATGTTACTCACGTCATCGTTGCAGAAGCCGACGGCTATGGGGCCGCAGGAGACGGCGGCGAGGACGCAGATCTCGGCGGGCGCGACCGTGTCGCCGAGTACAGTGAGGCAGCGAGTGAGACATTCCCTCGATATCAACATATTACTCACGTCACCGTTGCAGGAGCCGACGGCTATGGGGCCGCAGGAGACGGCGGCGAGGACGCAGATCTCGGTGGGCGCGACCGTGGCGCCGAGTACAGTGAGGCAGCGAGTGAGACATTCCCTCGACATCATCATGTAACTCACGTCACCGTTGCTGGAGCCGACGGCTATGGGTCCGCAGGAGACGGCGGCGAGGACGCAGATCTCGGCGGGCGCGGCCGTGTCGCCGAGTATAGTGAGGCAGCGAGTGAGACATTCCCTCGACATCATCATGTTACTTACGTCACCGTTGCAGGAGCCGACGGCTATGAGGGCGCAGATCTCGGCGGACGCGGCCATGTCGCCGAGTACAGTGAAGCAGCAAATGAGACATTCCCTCGATAACATCATGTTACCACGTCACCGTTGCTGGAGCCGACGGCTATGAGGGCGCAGATCAAGGCGGGCACGTTCGTGTCGCTGAGTACAGTGAGGCAGCAAATGTGACATTCCTTCGATATCATCATGTTACTCACGTCACCGTTGCAGGAGCCGACGGCTATGAGGCCGCAGGAGATGGCAGCGAGGGCGCAGATCTCAGCGGGTGCGGCCGTGTCGCTGAGTACAGGCAGGAGGTGAGACAAAACGTCTTCGCGCTGAGTGCCCGCGTACGCGATACCCAAACCTGATAAAAGGACAATTTATCTAAATTAGATTATATTAGAGGAAGGAATTTTCCCTAAATGCTTAGAGAAAGCAGTCGTCATTCCTGTATTTAAGGCAGGCGACAAACGACAGACCTATTACGATACTATCAGCAATGTGAAATATTCTAGAAAAATATATTAATACAAGACTCGTCCAATACCTAGAGAATAAATCATTTCCTGTCCAATAAATCAGTTTGGTTTTAGATCTAATCTATCAACTGCTGATGCTGTGCATCAACTAACAGATTATTTAGTACAAGAACTTGACAAGGGAAATAAGACAATAGGAATATTCCTTGATCTAGCTAAAGCTTTTGATACCGTGTCTATTCCCATTTTATTACAGAAACTAGAATCTCCTGGGTATACAAGGCACCCAGCTCAAATTATTTAGGCAAACAAACCCAATGCGTAAAAATAGGCAAAGTTCTCAGCTCGGATTTGGACAATACCTGTTATGGAGTTCCTCAGGGGAGTATTTTATTTTAATTTACATAGATGACCTGTGCAATTTACAATTAGTAAATGGAAAAATCATTTCTTACGCTCAACTCTACGAATACTCACAAAAAAGGCTTCAATGTTGTAAAGAATTGGCATAAACACTCAACACTCAACTCGGACATAATCAAGTATATGCATTTTGGAATGCGCAAATACACTATTGCTCTTATAAACAGTAACCTGTATGCTCATTATTGTGTAGAACCTGCATATTGCCAGGGCAAATGTCCAGAGGTCAACAGGACTAGTCATATAAAATACCTAGGTATAATTATTGACGAAACACTCTGTTAGGCCTCATATCAATGCTTTGAGCAACAGAGTCCATAAATTGATGTTTGTGTTTAAGAAACTAAGCGGCCAACTTTTTGTGCTCGTCCGTCAATCAACTTACCGAGAACACTACCGATCCTTAGATAACAACTGGAATGCAACACGTAATCGGAGAGGAGAGCGAGCGCGGGGTAGCACTCGTTGCGCACGCCGCAGTTGACGAGCTCGAACGGGAGCAAAGCTCCCGCCTTTATGTGCTCGTCCGTCAATGAACTTACCGAAAACACTTCCAATTCTGAGGTTAGAACTGAAATGCAACACGTCATCGGAGGAGGGCGAGTGCAGGGTCGCACTCGTTGCGCACGCCGCAGTTGACGAGCCCGAGCGCGAGCAAAGATCTCGCCTTTATGAGCTCGTCCGTCAATTAACTTACCGAGAACACTTCCAATTCTGAGGTTAGAACTGGAATGCAACACGTAATCGGAGAGAAGAGCGAGTGCGGGGTCGCACTCGTTGCGCACGCCGCAGTTGACGAGCCCGAGCGCGAGCAAAGCACCCGCCTTTATGTGCTCGTCAGACGTATACAAGTACTTGTCGATAGGCGTTAGACCGCCGTCCACGTCCCACAAGTGGATCATGCCCAGAGACGCGGCAGCTGACAGCATGCCTGTACAACGGTGTTACATGTTATCCTACTGATATTATAAATGTGAAAATTTGTATATTTGTGGGTTTATATGTTTGTTACTCAATAACGCAAAAACTACTAAACGGATTTGGATGAAATTTTGTATGCATATAGAGACAGGATACTATTTATTCCGGAAAAATGTTCGGTTCCTGTGGAATTCCTAAAAAACCAAAGTTAACGCGGACTATGTCGCGGGCGACCGCTAGTGCTAACTAAATTAATCAAGAGTTTTGCTAAGATTCCTCCATAGGAAAGGATGTGTGTGTAATGTGTGATGATAGCACAGCATAATTCTTTGTTTGTGAGGTGGCTGAATTTAGCCATCACAACAGACAGGACATATTGGTTCATGTGACATGCCTCCCAGACATGAAGGAGCAAGCCACATGATCATGTAAGGCTTCTTTATCACAATACTATAGTATTATGTGCTAAGCTTTCCTGTTATGAAGAGCCAATCAAATCAATATTACAATGTAATATATTTGTTACATCCTCACTAAATTCCAAATCAAAATTACACTGATGATAAAAGTAACATGAAATGTAATGTAATCAATGATTTTATTAAAATGTTCACTCTTAAGGCTGATTTACGCCGAGGCAACAACATGCAACATTTCGTATGCTACATATTGTAGCATGGGTCATCCGGTGGCATGCTACAAATAAAAACATCTTGCAGCACTTGCGACATGCGGCAGTCTATTTTACGCCGAGGCAACATTATACCTAGATCATTTCATGACGACCTCCGTGGCCGAGTTGTTTGTACGCCGGGTTTCATGGCGTCGCCGAGTCGAGAGGTCCCGGTGGGGGCAGACGTTTGTGTGATGAACACGAGCATTTGTACTCCAGTCATGGATGTTTAATATGTATTTCTATATAAATATACTTATATATATATACTTATATAGTATATGTATTCTATCCATTACCATAGCATCCCATAACACAAGCCTTACAGTGCTTACTTTGGGGCTAGGCTAATTGGTGTGTTTAAAAAAAAAGTCAGAGAACTGTTGTAAAATAATAAATGATTGCATCCTCAAAGAAGTTAAAATATTTTTTTCTTACACCACACCATAACCGATAAATCACTTCTCGGATAAAAAACATAAACATAACCTATAAACTAGGCTACGTTCGAAACCTACGCTAAAGGCGTAACAAACGCCTTTGACATAAATTACATACATACATAAATTACTCCCATAATTAAAATATAAACGTCAGGGCAAAAAGTTGCATTCAGAACAAAGGTTTGAAACGCAGCCCTGTTTTGTCATACCAAAAATGTCGTACGAAATCCATAATGTTCGAATACACAGTGCCACATGACGCATGATTCCTGTCACAATGTGCAACATTTTTGAATTTTGTAGCATGCGGCCTTGTGGCATGCCGAAATGACGCACAGTGTTGCCGCGGCGTAAATCAGCCTTTTGGTGTGATTTTTTATTATTTCTGGGATTTCTTACCATGATCTTTGTTCTTATACATCCATTTATTGCCATCATCTGTAGTGACAAGTTTGTCACGTCCAAATCCGGCATTCACAAAAGCATTTACAAATGTAGCCGATAGGTTTTGTCGAGCTGAGTCAACAGGGTGCTCAGCTAAAAGAGATGGTCGGAGAGCTGAACCAGCAGACTCTAGCCAAGTTTTATATACTTCTTCAGGCGTTTTTGGTTCCATGATATCAAGCTGCAAAAAAATTAAAATAATAAGAAGTAGAAAGTATGTTTTAATTTAACTGGTAAGTAAAAAAATAAATACCAACCTCTCTACCTAGACTTAAGAAATGGTCATTTATGTGGGCATTAAGAAGAATGGTGCGTAGATCTTCATCTTCCAAGTCTAATGGGACATATTGTCTGGCAAGCATGTAGCACAATTGTTTCTTTATTAGTCTGTAAAAATAAAAAAACAATATAATAAATAAAATGTCATAAATCAGTTTAACAATAATAATAATGTGAAGAACTTACGGATCAGTGCAAGCATTGAAAACTTCTTCACATTTGGCTTTGTCATGAAGCTGCATGGCTACAAGCAGAGCTCTGGGATATTCCCCAAACCGCAAATATGTGTCCAACACCCCCTGAAGAATCTGTGTGGATTCAGGTTCCACTACATAACTAGCACATCTGTAATAACAACCACAAAATATATAAGACTATTACTTTTTCATAAGTAATTATACTATCAATACATAGTTATATTTCTCACAAGGAAACATGTAGGTGTGAGGTTAATATTATATCAGTTTTAATATCAGTTCTATAGCTTCCCAACAGGGTTGAATGGGTACTAGCTGTGAGTTGTAGCTGGGGTTGAAGTTGCGACCTTTAATTGATCACAACAAGATGTATTTACTAATAAAAAAAATAAAGTACAGCACCTAAAAATCCATGAATATTTTAAGACTAAATATTTTTTCAGCATTTGACCCCCTCCACCACCAATAGACTACATACATCAAAAAATGAATCCCCAACCATCCATCTAATGTACTCACAAAACAAACTTGACCTGCTTTATTTAACTAACCAATCAAACAGAAATTTCCATTCTGAAATAAAGTATATTTTATTGGCCTCATAAATTACAATGTTAATTTTACCATTCATACATTATTATAAAGTTTGGGTAAGGGCAGCAACACCAGTTGTAGCATACCATTATACAAAACAATTATTTTGATAAGTATACTTCCTGTGGCTTTCTTCCCTTCCCAGTGAAATCATATGGTAACAGTCCTTTACTCTAAACATTGAAAACTCACCCAATAAGATAAAGACAGACACGTGGATAGTTGCTCTGATCCATGTGCTGTGTAAGCAGATCTAGTCTGTCGATTTCCATAAGGAGGTCACAGGCTTGGATTTCAGCAGAGTGCTGCATATCAAAGGTAACTACATCTCTGACTAGAGGTAATAGTGTATCCATGTTCTCAACATTCCACTCCTCAGCAATTTCACCTTCCAATTGTCTAAAATGATAATACATACCTATTCATTGGGAGAATCAACAACAAGACACTGAATTTAAATAACATTAATAATAACCATCCTGTATTAATGGTTTTAATTTGATTTAAGAACATACAAAACCAATGACAACTAACCTTACATATTCATGACCCCAATCACCAACATTAGACATTGTGCCCAGTAGACAATACTTTAAACATTCTCGTTTTTCAGTAGCATCCTGCAAAATAACTTGATTGCATATACTTCTACTTCTTCTTTACAGTGGGTGTTTTCTGCAACTCGACACCAGGTGCCTATTTTGATTGCATATACTTAAATGTGTTCACTACCAATATAAGATTCCATTTTATCAAAGGATAGAAAGATTGGTAATTTTAGGCAAGCAATGAATGGTGTTTATTCTGGAGAGTTTCTCTAAACTTAAATCTAAATTTAACATCAGTCTCTCTTATTCATTCTGTATAGAGAATGGCAAGGATACACTGTTGTCCAATTTAATTTAATTTTAGGTTTAGAGTATCATGCCAGAATCAACACCAGTATGCTCTTAAATTACAGATTTCTGTTTAAAATGTTAATTTAAGATGTGCCAAGTCTCAGAAAGTCATTCAACAACAGTTTGAAAAAATAAAAATAAAAAGTTCTAGAATCTGCCTGACCAACCAAGACCAATGCAATAACAAATTGTGAGAATATGTTAATTTTAATCTAGTAAACATTTTATTTAAATATAATATTCTAACAGTTTCATGCTTTATTAAGCATACTGTGAATATTACATTCACATAGTTATTTCTGATAATATCACTGTCATCAACTTTGAAGTTTGATTCTTTATAGTGCTCCCACTTTTGGCTGACTTGACATGCATTAAAATTAATTGGCATTGGTGTAGGCATAGTTTTGACCACATTTGAGTAAGAAACATGCAAACACTATTAGTAGGATTAATGACTTATAATAAATTGATTTCATTGTTTTTTTCATCGAACATGACGAAATATAGCAGATGATAGTAGAATACTTTTACAGTTGAATTAGACAAAGAATTTTAAGTATTAATAAAATAAAACTGTTTGTTGTGTATGTTTTAAACATACCTGAGATCCACTTACACCCATGGCCAGCACAGACACTACATCAGCGCAGAATTTTTTGGTCTTTGGGTCTGCAATCTTTTCATAAACTTCTTTCAATGCAGGGTAGTGCTCACGCAAAAATTTCAAGGGTTTAGGAACCGACGTCATAGAAGTTGTGGATGTTCTTATGAGATTACTAAGCATTTGCAATGCTGGAAAGTACAGCTCAACATCGTTACCCTGAAAACCACAATAGGTTAGAATATGTTTGTATTCCGAATATTAGATTAGCAATATAAAAAAACATTATTTACCACTAGTTTTTCAACCAGCATGTTCAACTCTTCTTGAAGACGTTTATCTTCTTCCGACTGTAAGAATATCATATAAACAATAGTAATAAGTTTTTGAAAACGTAAACCAAGTTTTGTGTTAAATTTTTAGTTACCAGATCATCGCTTGTCGCCGCCGCGACCTCTGCTTTTTCTTTTTTCGGTTCATCAGGCTTATTTTTCACAGTCATCTTCAAATGTTTACTTGATTAACAGCAATAGTCTTTAATTTGTATTGTATGAACCTATATTTATGAATGAAACAGTTTTCAGAAAATTCAATTTTGACAAGTCACCTAAAGCACAGATTAGGTTAAGAAATTGTTAAGATGAGTTCAGACTATATTTAATCACAGTATAGAGCAGCGTATTTCTCCAGTTCGGTTGTCTATGATTTCATCCGATTTTCCTGCAGCAGTGCGCGCACTGCCTATGACGGTAATTATCGATTCATTATAATGGCACACCTCTATTCTCTCCTTGAGAAGGTCAAAGATCCGCTCCCACCTTACTCCGTGCACCTAATCGTCTTTCAAAAGTCGAAGGATTTCGAAGAAGTCGGTGTTTTTTATAAAGGTAGTAATAATTCTACTTTTTTTATCTAAATACCATTATCTAAACATTTAATACCTTTACAACAAAATTCTACCTTTTAACAGCGTTTTTCAATGAACTTTTTTTAACTTTACACTGTTTATTCCTTATTTTTATAAAAAAATAAGATAAACTAAAACAAATATTTATTAACATGGCTTAAGTACCTGATTTACTTTAATGTATTTAGAAACTGCAGTATATGATTCTTTGAGGATATAACCTTAAGTTGACCTTGCCGGTTATTTTTTTTTACAATTTTTGATACACGTCATGAATGAAAGTGGCAAGTTGCTTTATTTTGCCCCACCCTTACCAATTTATATATATATATATTCTATAACTGTTTTGGTTTTTTATTTCTAGGGTCTTTTTGACTTCACCAAGATGCCGATCAAATCGATAAAGGCTCGTCAAATCTTTGACTCCCGTGGCAACCCCACTGTAGAAGTTGACCTTGTAAGTTGACAACATTGATTTAAATAGGGGTAAAACTTTACTTCCTGTACTTGGCCCAAGAGGTGATACTTGTTTTTTTTTTGTAGAATAGGCCAGATTTTTTTTTCTGCCGCTTCGCCGGCCGCTGGCGCGGCACGCTTGGCTCGCGCTTTATGGTCACAGTACTAACCTAACATAGTGTGAAGTATCACCACTTGGGCCCTGGAAGTACAGTTTAGCCTTAAATAGGTGTATATTTTAATTGAATTAAGCTGATTCACATCTCTGATCTGCAATCTTCTTTTCTGTTTAGGTCACTGAATTGGGTCTCTTCCGTGCAGCAGTGCCTTCTGGAGCTTCTACAGGAGTCCATGAAGCTTTAGAATTGAGAGACAATATTAAGGGACAATACCATGGTAAAGGTGTCCTTACTGCAATTAAAAATATCAATGACATAATTGCTCCAGAACTGTTGAAAGCAAATATTGAAGTCACAGACCAGAAAGAGGTATCTAGTGAAGTCATTTATTTAAACAGCATTTTTTAATGATAAACTATATATTAATAAATCAAGGCATAGTAATCATAATCAGGCTGGAATAATTCCAGTGTCATTTGAATCCAGGCAAAACAGCTCCAAGTCTTCACATTATAAGCGAATCCAATGTCAAATAAGCTACATTTACTAGTATCAAACATTCAAAAAGAGAAATAGTAATATAGTTTCATCATACTTTTTGTACATTTATTACATTTATGTATTAAACTCAATGATATTAAATACCCTAGATACAACAACACGAACAAAATCGTGACCACAATGTGTCCAAATGGTACATTTGACGACCCATGAAGCTCCGTAAGATGATCGCTCAAAAACAATATAATGCATTATTTAAACATTGAAAGCCACCTTTAATGTATACTGCATAAAGTCTTAATTAAAACGCATGCGTCAAAGACTTGTGATAGTTAGAAATGCAAGCTTGTAAAATTTTATGACTTATTGTTATATGCGGAAGAATATAGACCTTATTTTTGTTACTTTACGCGCAATTCTGAATGCACTCTTAGCAATGTAGCAGGAACAGACCACTAGGAAAAGAGACGGCTATAAGGCGACGTGTAACCAACCATGCATTTGAATATCACAAATATTTTATATTAAATCAGTTAATAGTAAGTATTACAACAAAATTTTGCTTCAAATGAGTTAAATTAACAACCATTGATTACTTACCTGTCGAAAAAACGACACTTAACGTACTGTATGTATAGTGTTTGTATTTTTTCATGGAGTTCCGTGGCATCTTTACTTTTCAACGATCCGCGCATGACTGTGAACCAAGAAGTGCTTGAGTGCCATTCAAGCACTTCTTGATTGGGACACATTTTGAGCGCTCATTATGTATCTAGGGTATTTAATATCGTTGATTAAACTGTTAGATTTTCATATCTAAAGAAAATTCAGGAAATGAATTCCAGCCTCAAAACAAGGCTGAGTTGAAAATTTCGTTCTTATCCTTTAAATAAACTATCATATTGATGCATAAATACAAAAAAATATTAAAAGCTTTTTATATCATTAATCAGTGCAATATTATAATTAATCTTTTTTTTTTTTTATAGATTGACCAATTGATGATTAATCTTGATGGCACTGAAAATAAGTCGAAGTTTGGTGCTAATGCAATCCTTGGTGTTTCCTTGGCTGTAGCTAAAGCAGGTGCGGCTAAGAAAGGAGTGCCTCTTTACAAACATTTGGCTGACTTGGCTGGAAACAGTGAAATTGTTCTACCAGTTCCTGCCTTCAATGTCATTAATGGTGGCTCCCATGCTGGCAATAAATTAGCTATGCAAGAGTTTATGATCTTGCCTACAGGTAATGTTTAAAAGACATTAAGTTAATTTAGATGTTTTACATTTTGAATTTAGTTATTAATTTTGTTTTTGCTATGTTAAGGAGCTACTTCATTCAGTGAAGCAATGCGTATGGGATCTGAAGTCTACCATCATCTGAAGAAAATCATTAAGGAGAAATTTGGCTTGGATTCGACTGCTGTTGGTGATGAGGGTGGTTTTGCCCCTAACATTCAAAACAACAAAGATGCCCTTTACCTTATCCAGGATGCTATTCAAAAAGCTGGATACACTGGCAAGGTAAAATAAAAATTCAAAAGTAACTATGTAATATGTAATCTATCTCTGCTGAACTGATGTTGATGAATTTTGATTTGAAATATGGAATGGAATCTCCAGTAAAGGAAGGGTCTTGCCTTTTGCCTCAAAACTAAAATTTGAAATAGGAGAACATATATTGCATAGAATTTGCTATTCAGTGCAGACACACCAAAATCGCGGGTACTCACCAGAAATACTATAAATTCGAATGTGACTTTTTGTTAGGTATGCTTTCACTGCTAAACTGCTCAGTTAAAGATTTTAAATGGAAATGGAGAATTTAAGAGAAGCAATAGTCTACTGTTGTCTCCACTGTAAAGGAAATGAGAGATACATTTGTACTAAATTAGAACAGTAAAAATTCATGTAGCAGTAAATAAATATTTTTGTTGTACAGATTGAAATTGGCATGGACGTTGCTGCATCAGAGTTCTTCAAAAATGCAACTTATGACTTGGACTTCAAGAATCCTAACTCAAACCCAGCTGACTATTTGCCTTCTGATAAACTAGCTGAGGTGTACCTTGATTTCATCAAGGACTTCCCCATGGTTTCTATTGAGGATCCCTTCGACCAGGATGACTGGGCAGCCTGGGCTAGTCTGACTTCTCGTACGCCGATCCAAATCGTCGGAGATGATCTTACAGTAGGTTTAAAAAATGCATTTTATTCTTACTAAATTAATATCCAGTATAGGTTTGCGACCTACCATGTTGTAAGTGACTCATATAATGATATATATTTTGTTGTTCTAGTTATGATTATATTTAATTCAAAACCTCCAATTTATTTTAAGAAAATATATATGCTTAAAAAAAGAACTAAGGCCTGTATTACAGAATGACAACTAAGTGTTGATCTTTACTTGAGTACAGTTACAAAGGGATGTCGCTATGTGCTTTAGAAAGCGACATCCCTTTCTAACTGTGCTCAAGACTAGATCAATCACTGAGAATCTTTCTATAATACGGGCCTAAGTGTTTACTGTCAACGTGCTAGACTCCAGCCTTCTCTTGAAAATAAAAAAAATAATTCAATTTTTATTTATTATTTTTACAGGTTACTAACCCAAAACGTATCGCCACAGCAGTGGAGAAAAAGGCCTGCAACTGCCTTCTATTGAAGGTCAACCAGATTGGAAGTGTAACTGAATCTATTGATGCCCATTTGTTGGCCAAGAAAAATGGCTGGGGCACTATGGTCTCCCACAGGTAACAAAATTAATTTTAGTATCATAATTGCTGTAGCAATGTGTCAAAAATATCAAATAAACATTAATATCTAATTTTTAAGAAACTTAGCATTGTCACTGCTAAGTCAACCAAAAATTTAAAAAGGCAGTTTTCCTTTTCTTGAAGTTATTCAATTCAGTTCATTTTCAACCACCCTGTAATTTATTTTTGTATAAAACTAGACGCCTGAATGTATCGTGACTTCGTGACCAAGAGAGAAGTATGCCCACTTTAATTTAGGAATTATGTTATATGCCCATACAATATTTATATCTTGAATTGCATTGAATTTGAATAAATCTTCAGAAAACAAAGTCTACTCCAGTCCAGTCCCCGTAGCATAAGCACCACAATTTACATTAAGTATATCACGTTTTTAATCGCGTCTAACTGTCAAATCCCAAAGTAATGTGAAAATTGAGCGTGATAAAAACGCGTTATATATCATATCGCGGTACTCATGCTAGGGGGGGCTGCACTGGACACTACGTCCAAAAATAAAATAGATTTTTAACCTACTTAAAAAAAGGAGGAGGAAACATTAAATCGATTTTCGTTTCTGATCGGTAATAAAATAATAAGTCTTTCAATCTTGACCCGCCCGACTTCCAAATCATGAACCAGATATTATTTTTAACTTTTTAGTTCCATTTTCGATTTTGAAGTTGGTTTTATTTTATGTTTAATTTCTTTTATTAATATTATGTTTATAGGTCTGGGGAAACCGAGGATACGTTTATTGCCGACTTGGTAGTGGGCTTGTCCACTGGTCAAATCAAGACCGGTGCGCCGTGCCGTTCTGAGCGTCTCGCCAAGTACAACCAAATCCTACGTATTGAGGAAGAGCTCGGTGCCGCTGCAAAGTACGCCGGCAAAAACTTCCGCAGACCCGTCTAAACTATTAAAACACAGCGCATTTGCTAATTTATGAATGTCAGTTGTTTGAAATTTTGAATGTAGTTTATCAATGTTTAATGATACGCTGAATGAGTTAATTTCATATTTTCCATTTATTATTTTATGATTTTTATTTTAAAATCTGCCTTTTTATTACTAAATGTATATTTATTTTTCAAAATTTAATTTATTGAATATTTATAGTTAACTAAGCACGTAAATTAATTATTAAGTTTAAATTTAAGAAAAATAAAGTCTGTAGAACAAATGACAATGTTTCGAAGATAGAATATCTGTGTATTATTTTGCATTTGCGTTTATTTAAAGAATAGTAAGATTGCTAATTCGTTGTTTCAAATTTAAAAAATATATTAAATTATTACCACTTAGAAGTGTTTTAGATATCATATCTTGAGAAATAAAGAAGTTATCCAAGTAAAAATATTTATTGTAACAACTGTCCTTATTTTTCATACAGGTATGATTTTATTTTACAATTTTAATACCCAGGCGGTCTATTCGCTAACTTTTTTGTAATTTACAGTATGCAACTAAAGCAACGATATTAAATACCCTAGATACACAAAGTGCGCTTAAAATGTGTCCCAACCAAGAAGTTCTTGAACTTTTTGGTTCACAGACCCGCGCGGATCGTTGAAAAGTAAAGATGCCACAGAGCTCCCTGAAAAAATACAAAAACAATACCTATAGTACGTTGTGTCGTTTTTCGACAGGTATTTAATCAATGTTTGTTAATTTAACGCATTTGAAGCAAATTTTGTTCCAAAAATTACTATAAACTGATTTATTAGCAAATATTTGTGATATTCAAATGCATAGTAGCCGGCTCTTTTCCTCGCGGTCCATAACAGCGCATTCATAATTCCGAGTAGAACCAAAGAGGTATAGCGAAATTCTTTCGCATAACTGTCCAGTATAGGTCGTATCTCTTTGACGCATGCGTTTTAATTCAGACCTTATACAGTTTGCGTTAAAGGTGACTTTCAATGTTTAAATAATGCCTTATAGTACGAGAGCCCACGACCAAAATTTTTGTCTCATAGCATAGCAATACGGCCAAAACCGCATCTAATCGATAGATACAATAGGCTAGTTGACTCATGTCGAATTGTATTAAATAAATAGCAGCATTTTACCTGAAAAAAAATGCATATTAAAATACTTACCTCACTGAAAGCTTTATATTGAGATAGCACTTCCGTTTCCCGTCGAATTACCATCAGTTTTCGTACTTTTATTCACCTTATATCCGGTCCAGTGGCGACACCTGGCAGAAGCGCGGCCATTTTTGTTTTCCTAAGTTTTGACAGCGCCATATTAACTCATTGGCTCAATTATTTCACCAGGCAGAATTTAAAGTGAAAGCTTTCAGTGAGGTAAGTATTTTAATATGCATTTTATTTCAGGTAAAATGCTGCTATTAAACTACTTGACCGTCACTGAAAGCTTTATATTGAGACCTGTTTGTTATCGCCTGGTGATCGCCACGTACATAAATATATACGCCAATGTGACAATTTATGATAAATTTAAATATTAACATTTATCAGATTATATGAAACTGTTTATAGAAACGAAAAAGCTTAAAAATGGATCAAATAACATTATTTGAATCCCGCCTTTAATTTCTTCACGCTTACGAAGCTGCTTTAACATATGTATTAGCTGATTGCTATATTCCTTTACTTAAACTTGCTTACTTAATTATATATATATTTGCTTTCTTAATGACCGGACGCTTCCTTGTGTAGCATTCATTTGTATCTTTGTTTATCACAAAAAGGCGTAGGAATGCGAGAAAAAGAAGTAAAATTGTTCGATACTGAGTCTTACATTTTACAAGACTGTACTTTTTTCTTGAGTACCAAAAATCAGGGTCCTATTTACGATTACCAGTATTCGGTACATGTCACCAATCGGATTGTCTCTAACTACTTTCACCTGTTTTGAACCAAAGGCTAAAACTAATCTTCGTCGGTACCAATACAATGATTCGGGTTAATTTGAAGTAGGAACAAGTCATGTGTACCACATGCTGAACCAAATAATACGCAGCATAATTACTGTATGATGTTCAGAACAACAACTAGTATGACGAGGTATTTGAAACAGATCATTATGATGTAAAGAGTACATTATTGAAGAAAAGGAAATAAGTTAACTTATAGATTCTCCAGAATAGTGGGTTACGGAACGATTCTTTAAAAACAATCAACTTCAATATATGTGTTTGCCAAGACAGGTAAGCTTAGGTAATTAGACTTATCATCCATTGGTATATCATGTAAAAACTACTGGCTTATTTAAAATAATAGTACTTATTTTGAGATAAGTCACGTGTTAAAAATAAGTCTCAAAAATCGTGTTAGCTCAGATCCGAGTCCACAACCTGCGGGATTATTCCGATAAACATTCTTGTTCCTAGACCAATGCAACCACGCAAGCCAGCGTTTTCGAGCCATCTGATACAGACAGACAGAGCTGTCGCTCTTTGTAGAATATGATGAAAAGCGTAGTGCTAGCATATCTATATGATTGGAGTGGAGATTGAAGTGAAGTGGTAGAGCCGTGTTCTTCAATTATACTTCCCAAGCTTTCATATTAGATTGGCGGGAAGTGATTGCAAGGTCGATTGCAGTGAATACATAATTATTGTTAGAAGTAGGGAGTGGTTGATACAACCCCACGCAATGACAAAAATGTTAAAACCGATCAACTTCTGAAGTTTACTCTTTTACAACGAAATTCTCAGGTATAGTTTTTATATTGTTGCAGGGTTGCCGTGATAAATTATGCTATTACGAAGTTTAGACCAGATTTTATGAAATTCATTTGCCATCCTGGAATCTATAATTGATTATAATTTTTCCTTTTGTTTTTTCATTTCTTAGATCAAGGTCATTTATATGTATTAGTTAATACTTAATAAAGATTAAGTTATTTATAAAATTTACACAGCTTACTTGAGGTGTGCATGTAGTATGCGTAGGGTTTAAAGTATATTTATTCCAGACAGTCGTGGCAAGGTGAGAAAGCGTAAGTTTAATATTAAGAACAGTTTTCAGTATTTTTTACTAAAAATAACATAAAGTGGATAATAATGATCTTCAAAACCTTTCAAGAATTTGGTAGATCGTGCAATCTTTCTTCAGTACATAGCACCACTTATATATCAAAATGATCATGTTGACCATCTCAGACACCTCATACACGACATTTTCAATATTGCATGTTTGCTTTTGCATTTGGTTTGCTTTTGTTATTTTCAAGGGAAAATATGTTATCATCTATCTATCTGGCAGATAGTCCTTAAATTGCAGAAAACTTAGAATTCTTTACATTTTTATAGTGTACTGCACTTGAGATTGGAGTTTGATATATATTGGATTTAGATAAACAAGCTTTTGAATGGCATGCTATACCACCAAATTTATTTAAGAATTATTTGTGGTGCTCCCAATTTACCAATTCTCCTGCACTATATTTCAAACATTAATTGTTTCGACATTCCTTTTCCTTTTGAAATTATTACAGCACGTCCTTGATAACTATATTACGGTAGAACAACCGTAGTGATCGAGTCTACACTTCAGACCAATTAGCCTAGCCTCTTAATAGGCATTGAAAGGCTTGTGTTATGGGCTAACGCATAGAAATGCATAAGATGATGCATAGATTAGTATAATTATGAATAAATATGTGTTAACAACCAAGACTTAGGCACCGATGCTCGTTTTTATCATACAATGATTTGCCCCACCGGACCTCGGAGTATGCGACACCTTAAAAACCAGTGTACATTGCACTTCACAACGGGATACATCAACATTCGATCTTCGATCTTTCTAATCTATTAAGAGGGTAGTTTATAACCGATACTTATGTGTGTACGCAAGCCATGAGCGGCTATGTTGCGTTGCGTTGATGTATAGATTTCCACACGATGGAAGTAATGAATTATGTCAAGCGACATTTATTATATTTTCAAATTACTTATTTTTACAGACCCCATGGTCACAAAAATAAATTATGAAGAACGAATAGACAATATGTTAAATTATGCATAATTTGCTCCACTCGAGTGTCGTATGTTACCGGTGCTTACATAATAGTACGAACTCCATAAGCGAACATGTCCTAAGGAGAATATATATTGAGCTTCACGTAATGGAAATAATATATTATGTGTGATATGACCCCACAAGGGCGATTATAAGATTGATGACGATATTCTTCCATCAACGATTTGTTACCGATACTTGTACGTGTAGGCCAGCCATGGAAAGAATGTCCTTATTCATAAAGAGTTCCATGCGGTGGAAGCAAATTATACATAATATACCCCCGCGAGGGGCGGTCATTAGAGTTTTGGTAATATGTACCCCGCGAGGGTGGTTTGCTACCGGTACTCGTATATGTAGGCAAGGAATTATAGGCATTTCATAAGGTTTCACTTAGTGGAAACAAATTGTATATAATATGCACCCCGCGAGGGTGATTTGTTACCGGTACTCGTATATGTAGGCAAGGCATTAGAGGCATTTCATAAGATTTCACGTAGTGGAAACAAATTATATATAATATGCACCCCGCGAGGGTGATTTGCCACCGGTACTAATATGTGTAGGTACGCCATGGGAGGGCATGTCCTGACACGACTTGGGCTTCATGAGATGAAGCTTATTATGAGCTAAGCTATCACTTGCCTCTGCGTGAGTTGCTCATTAGTTTGATGAAATGTCAATCACTTAAATCCATGACAAAGTATAATTATAAGTATAATTTTATACGAGAAAAACAACCTCAAAAGCTCTGAATCATTATGTGGTGATTGGATGGTGGTGCTTCATCACAGAGATCACTAACTTCTTAAGCAGTGCTTTAGTTTTTTCTTTTTAGCTTTGTGCCCTCACTAGCTGTAAAATACCTCAGAAACGATTCTGTTATCTTATCACTTTCGTTAATAAAATTAACAGAGCAGGTGCCTTCCCGCAATGATTAATTTTTATTTTAAAATATGCGTTTGCTGAAAGAAAATTATTGTCAGGAACGTGATATATCATAAATTATCATCATACTTCTTTACCTCATTGTTTGTTTCCAGGTTGATAAAGCCTGGACTATGA